TTGTAACGACCACAAATATTATAATTGTTTTATAATTGTAAGAACCTGAAGAGGAGAAGAATGTATTGAAAGGAATATTTATTCTTCGTTCAGATTAACTTTTAATTCTTCATGCGATATGGGAATATTTCACACTATCAAATCTTATCACATAGTTATCCATGGTTTTGATTTTGATTTAAATTTTATGTTGTACACAACATAATTGCCATAAACATTTAATTTTGAATCATTAAATAAGAGAAGAAGACTTAAAAAGATTGAAAAGCCGAGAAATTCAAGCAGCTAGAAGAAAAAAGACACACACACACACAAAAATCAAATGGGAAATAAGTAAAGAATAAGAATAAGTGAATGGTAAGTAATAATGATCTATTCCCTGCTTTCACAATTGATGAATTTGGTGAGCAAGGTATTTAAAATACTTTAGGATTGTAAGTTTCCTTTCAAAGTGGAGTGCGCATCTCAGTTGCTTGAAATGCGCCTGCCTCTAGTTCGTTAGCATTTCGCTGAGGAGAGAAATCATACGGTTTTTGTTTAGGTTCCATTAAATTTCAGCCAGAATTGAGAACATTTTGGAACTGTCTCTGTAACGGTGCCTACTCTTGCGAAATTCTAGTAATTGTTTTTCTTCTTCTTCCGAGGGGTCCAGTCATCCATATCACGGAATTCGCACTCATGCTTCTCATCTGATACAGAGGCAAACGCCTCTGTATTAAAGCAAGCAGCTTCGTCATCCAGCAGTGTCCAGCTTATAGGATTTTCTAAATAGCCATATTTTGAGCGTAGATCCTGTGGATCGCAAGGTGACTGGATTTCGACTGCTCCTAGAGTATCATCATAACTGTGATTATTTGACTGGATGACTTCATGATTGATTGATGTGGTTGGTTTACGTGTATGAAGATATTCTACGGCAACACGCCTACCAGCCATATCTGGTACTCGAGTGCAGTGATTCGATAATTTATTTGATGAATATGATTTGGAATGTGCTTTTGCAAGTTCATTTACAGCAACACGCGTAGATATACTTGATGTATGCTGCATTGTTGTTGTTGTTAAACGATGATTCTGAGTCGAAAGTGCATCACTTGATGGAATACTTGTAGGTAAACGAGTTTTTGGTTTAAAACCATGTGGCCAAGTTATCTGCGCAGGACGTAGATGGAGATTACACTCATCAATATAAAGTGTTCCACGATGCACCTAAAAAAAAAAATAAAGCACTTATCAATAATATATAAAAGTGGAAAGTGACCATCATCAGAAACAAACTCCATATGAAATGTGCTCATCTGATAAAGAGAATAGTGACTGACCTTTTGATTAAATCATTACATATTAGATATAATAGAGAAGATTTGTAGCTCAGGTGGATGATTTTAATGTGGTTGTGTTCTCTGAGCTGGCTGGATGGTTGATTTGCGAAGCTTTCATCACTCTACTACTAGGTGACATCTTCCTTCAGCGCACACTTCAATTTGAATTGAAGTGAGCTTTTAGATTTCTCCACGAGTTTATTAATCATCTCTCCTGGTGGGTGACCTTGGACATCGTGATTGGTTGTTTTTGTATGTTTTCACACCTTCTAGGTTACTTGTATTCGGAAAGCACAAAGAAAATCGCCTTACAATACATAAAGGATATCTCAGAAATCACACTACAAGACTCTTCAAACCTTTAGGAATTGACGTCGTACACAAACCAACAAAGTCACTTCACTCAATTCTGTGTCAACCAAAAGACTCAACAGCGAATGAAGATAAAACCAACATCATCTACAAAATAAATTGTAACAACTGCGAAAAACAATATATTGGTCAAAGTAGACGTCCCCTTCGTCTTCGTATCCACGAACATAAGCTAGCTGTCAAAAGACATGATATCCACTCCCTCATATCGCCTCACTACATACAGACAACCACGGACATCAATTCGACTGGGACACCGTTCAAATATTAGACAGAGGAAACAACAAGAATGCTAGAGAATTTTCAGAAGCCTGTCTGGTATTCCAGTGAATCATCAATCAATAGACACATACAAAGGGTCAAAGTTCAAGCCAAAGAAACAATCAGTTCCAATTCAAGTAGCCGTCTAGGTGCAAAAACACACAAAAACAACCAATCACGTCCAAGGTCATCAGGAGAGATGACTCATAGTGAGAACTCGTGGAGAAATCTAAAAGTTCACTTCAAACTGAAGTATGCGCTGAAGAAAGATGTCACCCAGTAGGGTGATGAAAGCTTCGCAAATCAACCATCCAGCTCAGAGAACACAACCACATCAAAATCATTACATATTAAATAATACTGTACTATCTATCACATTCATCATTATAAAGACGTTTATAATGTGGAAAGGTACCTTAAAAAAAGTTGAATTGACAGTAGTAAACCTGTCAACGTAAATTTTATATACGCATGGGGTTGTTTGATTGGCTGTGAAATAACTTCAAAATATGCATCATCAGTGAGTGGATCATGTTTTCTCCTCTGCTGCCCTGTCATTCTGTTTCATCATTTTCGGAATACAACACAACAACCTGAACAAATCAACTTCTGTGAGAAATTATATAGTGATTCGACAGTCAGCTACCTTGTAAAATTGAGTTGTATTAAGAAACGTACTATTGTAACAACAGAAGACAAGGGCCAGGCATCAGATCGTTTATTAAGGGAATCAGCACGTATTTATACATATTTCATGTACATTATTATCGCTTATTCAAGCAGACAAACACAGTCTTCTGATTGGCTGTTTCTTGCTCAAGGTTATTCTGTATTGTTTGTACCTGGTTTATCAGAAAGTTAAGCCATATATCTGCGAATCTTATTTGCCCAAGTTAAGTCTGCTGTGATTGGTTGTTGAATCAGCCTTGTTCTCAGCCAATATTAGCTACCTAGACATTGACGTAAATTAATGTCTACCAATTGGCTGGCAGCCTGCTCTCACCACACTATAATGTCAACGCCAAAAACAGTGCTTTAAATTAATTTCCTGAAAGTCTAATAAAATGATACGTACCATTTGTTATCTCACATCTTACAATTCACACACAGCCAAAGAATGGAGAAAAAGACATATGAATTAGGAAGTAATACAGCTTTACTAAAAAGTTACCTGTTTATAATGGCCATGGCAGGGACAGGGGTTGGACGTATTTCTTTTGTATACAAAAGCTCAAACCCACGCTTTGTGATACAGATTTCTTTGAAAGTTTTCTTATTGCAATATTATTTTCTTGGGATTGGCACGTCCAATCTTCGACATAACAAATTCCCCATATCATGCTATACTACACTGCCAAATGGCTAGCACAAAATCCTCCTACCTATCAGGAATAACCTCTGCAAGCATAACGTTGCTGATTCGTTTGAATTCGTCGATTCATTAAGGGATATACTAATGTATCCCCATGGAGGAAAATGATATCCATGGATGTTACTTCACTTTTCACCAACGTTTCCTCTCACTGAAACTATCTGCTTTATACGCAAATTCATTGAAGATAATAATGTAGACAGGTATGTGTCCCGACCCACTACTTAAAGGAACTACTGTTGAGGTGCACTCTATATGTCCAGTTCAAGTTCAACAACACGATATATAGACGAAGAGATGGAGTAGCAATGGGGTCACCACTGGGTCCTTTACTTGCAGATTGCTTCTTGGCCAGTTTGGAGAATAGTATTTTATGGCCTACTATCGACAGTTTCCATCTGTACCTAAGATACATGGATGATACCTCCATCATATGTGACGACAATACTGACGTCGAATTGATAACTAATGAGTTCAACAGCTGCCATCATGCCATCAAATTCACGTCGGAATCAGAGATTAACTCGGAATTCCACTTTCTGGATGTTTTTCTAAAGAGGAGATCTGATGGCTCTCTTCAAAGATCTATCTACAAGAAACCAACATGGAATGATCAGTACACAAATTTCCACAGCTGGGTCCCTTTGAGAAGAAAGAGAAATCTGATCCATTCTTTATCCTCAAGAATAAGGAGGATATGTTCAAGTGATACAATAAATGGGGAACTGGGGCGACTCAGACAAGTCCTCATAGAGAATGGATATCCTCCAAGATTTATCGAGAAAAACATGAAGTCAAGGAAAAAGCCTGAAAGAATCCAGACGGCGCCGAAGAAACTGCTATTTATGAGTGTTGAATTTAAAGGTGATACCGCAGCTGAGATCCTGAAGAATCGCTGCTTATGCAGATCAGATCACTGAGGAAAGCCTTCTTTATGGCTGAGCTACGTATCAATTTTTACAGCCGACAAATGATCAATGGATGTGTGAAGGATAAACTGCCGCTTTCGACTGGCCACCTCAATGTGTATTTATAAATTCACCTGCTGATCGTGTGGAGCTAGTTATATTGGCCGCCCACACACTTTCCAAACGCATCTCTGAACATTATCCGGCATGGTTAGCAAAGGGACAATGCAAGACAATTACTAGCTCAATTCTCGAGCATTTGGTGAACTCAGGCCATGTAGCTCCACCAGAGTCGTCTTTCAAGATCACCTACAAAGTGAAGCCAAATGGTACAAAGAAGGTGTCAAGTTTCGGTTTTTGTGTATGGTGGAGGCGCTGGCGAATCGTCAATACAACCCTGAACTCTGTATACCGAAAAAGTTTGTTCAGTCTCTTATTCTACCTTGATCTTAACCTCTTCTCTAATCGTTCCCTGTATAACATTTTGATTCTTTCTTTTCCTTTTAGTTTGCTTTTGCTTTAATAATTAATTCACTATTATCACTCTCGTCTTATGCTCCTTTTGCATATTTTCACACCCTCGTTAAATTGACACTTAAATGCTTTTTTATTTTTACTCAAGGGCAACTTTAACCTTATCAAATTTCTATCTTTGTGCCGTTGTTGAGTACCATGTAATTTACAACTTTTATTCTTTTTTACTTCTAAAGCCACTTGTGAGTAATTAAACCAATTATGTCACCCCACCCTCAATTACTCAATAATAGGCAACTATACTATTTTAGCAAATGTAAATACGACGACTGTACACAGCTGGCCTTGAAAGATGATTTCGTCGATAAAGAAGCATTTTCTTCGCTGATGAATCTGTCTTTTATTTTCTTCATAACTCTCAATGGGTATTTTCGGTGATTTCTTGGAATTACGATAATTACAATGTTGTTATAAGGGGTAGAGTTGAAGTGGATAAATTTCAAAAATATTAAAGATTGTTTTATAGGTGAATTGATACCAAAAATGTCAAGTGTTGTCTAAAAATTTTAAAAAATTAAGAGTACGATTACGATAAGAATGAAGATGTGGTGGAGTGAAGTGGAAAGAATTCAAGTGGTAAAATGAAATAAAATAAAAACTAGAAAGAATATTACTATGACCAAAGTATGGAAAGGGGTTTAACAAAACGTTTTTGAACATATAATTTAGGTTTCTGTTCATGTATAGCTAAAGCTTCGGCTAGCTATGTATAAGTGAAGAAAACGTAAACTTTTGGATCGATTCGATTTTGCCAGGATGAATCACGTGGGGGGCTAAATGACCATAGTCCAACAGGTGATCACAAAAAGACAACTTCGCAGTTCTACGTTCGCCTTTCATTAACCAAACCACTTAGTGTTCAGCTACACGTTTTCGGAGAGTACGTTTACAACGTCCAATATAAACAGCTCCACAAGAGTAAATGCACATAGATGTGGACAAAAGAGGTAATCTATCCTTGACGCATTGTCTAATCATATTTCGGCTGGTTAAAACTAGTTGCAAGTCAGCTACAGGAAAAGTGCGTTTAACACATTTAGATAAACGATTTTTAATCAATTCCGAAATGGTATCACCTTTGAATGCCAGACTCATAAACAGTTTTTTCTTTGGCACTGTGATTTGTCTAGGCGTGGATTCTTTCTTGATGTTACGTTCAATAAACCTTGTAGGATATCCATTGTTATGGAGATTTGGTCGAATGTCATCTAGTTCCCTATCGATTGTCTCTGCAGAGCAGATTTTACGAATTCTGGAGCACATAAAGAATGAATAAGATTCCTCTTTCTCCCTAAAGGTACCCAACTGTTGAAGTTAATGTACTACCCAGAGAATGTTGGCTTTCCGTAAATCGACCTCAAGAGCGTTCCATTCTCTCTTCTATCTAGCTAAACATCAAGGTAGTGAAACGAGGAATTCGACTCTTTTTCGACTGTGAAAAGCAAAGATGGGTGAGAAGTTAGGCAGTTGAAGAGTTTTCATCACATACAATGAAGGTATCATGGCGAAGTTAAACTTTCGACACCACTAACTACCAATCAGCGAATTATCCAATGAGATTCACAAACGATGTCGAATTATCCAATGAGGTTCACGAACGCAGTTCAATGTTGGATAGCGCTTGATTCATTTTTTTTTATTTACAGCTTGATTCCACAGTGTATTTTCGGTACAAGTATGGAATTTTCAGCATGGATATCGGTAGCCCAAATTTCGCAGGCCGACCATAGATATCAGTTGTGCGTCGGTGCGGGCTCGAACCCCGGACCATGTGCATGGTCGGCGAGAGTCCTAACCACTGTGCCACCGACGCACATGCGTGACCTTACAAGGCTACTGTTGCAATTCGAGGAGGTTAGTGTTTTCCACTATTTCCTGGATTTGAGTTGCTCCGGAGAGAACGAATTTGTTTGCGTGGTGGTATCATGACTTTAAAAAGCTATATCAAATCAACTCTTGGGTTTGTTCATCGTTGCGCTATATGTTTGAAGCCTACTAACACTAAAGAGAGTAGGCTGATAATTTTAATATTTCGTAGGAACCTTTTTTCGCTAGGTTGCTTCTCTCCCTAACCCAGATTTTGTATATCTGCAACTAATGGGTGTTGAAACAGGCTGTGAGAGCAGAAGCTGCCGAGATGAAGAATAGCCATGTCTCAACAGTTTAGTGGTACAAGCATTGCAGAGACATCGCATCATGGAAAATGGAGAAAATCACTTGTTTGCTGGGTGGGGAAGACGTTATCGTGCATGTCGATGAAACAGTGCTGGTAAAAAAGAAATACAACCGTGGTCGCCAGCGAGCGAACAATATTTGGGTAATAGGTTTGTATAACACCTACCTCCGAAAGGGATTCGTCGAAAGGATAGCAGATAGAAAAGCAACTACTCTTATACCTATTATTACCAGACTTGTTAAGCGGGGGGTCAATTATACACACGGACAAGTAGAAAGGCTACAATTCACTGTCATCTCTGGGATATATTCATCATTGAGTCAACCATTCAAGTGATTTTGTGGATCCCGTTACGAGGACACATACAAATTCTATTGAAGGATTTTGGGGCAGGTTCAAAAATAGGACAAGGGCTATAAATGGATCTCAAAAGGATCATTTATAGTCATTTGGATGAATATATGTACAGGGTATGGTGTAAATTCTCCATTGACAGTCCCATGCTAAACTGGGAGATGTTTCTCTCATATGTTCTCTATTTTATGCTTTTTTTCTATAAATATACATTTCCATTCATCATATATGCCTCTTTAATGTGATTGGTCCGTTCAAGGTCGTTTGCTGATTGGTTGTTAGTGGTGTCTGAAGTTTAACTTTGCCGGTATCATCAATATATCTTTTATACATAAAGAAACTATCGATGGTTTCCTTTAGTGGGCCATTCTCTAAGCTTGATATGAACTGTTTAACTATAATATTAAAATAGGCAAAAAAGTGTATGTAAAACTAGAAATACCACGACGCTTGTATGTATATATAGTTCGTTGATTAGGAACTAAAATAGTGTAATAACTTACTCTTAGGCTACACGAAATACAATGTCTCAAACCCAGACTATCGACTTTTGCAGGCTTCCCAGATTGATTTGTTATACTTGCGGTCTTATTATTAGGCGAGACATTTATATGACATAGACAAGGACATTGCCTACGTGGCCAAGCTGTTGTTCCTGACGGACTACTGCGGTTGTAGGAGGCAGCTGAAGAAAGATCTGTGCATATCTCCCACCCATCAGAAAATAAAGACTGTATATGAGGATCGTTGATATCATCAGCTTCTAGTTGATGAATGTTGTATTCATCCACATTACAACAAACACTTGCAGTATTTTGATTAGATTCATCAGAAGTATTCGGAATCCCAATAGGATTTCTAGCAAGTACATCAATCTCTTCAAAGCTCTAAAAAGTAGATAAAATAAATTAGTCCCCTTTGATAAATTTGAATAAGTAGGGCATTAAGAAGACAAATTTCACCGCGAGATGATATCGTCATTTCGTAGTTGCTTTACAACCGCTTTTCAACTACTAACATGGTTAACAATAATAATAAAATAAAAGGCATGACAATTACTCAGTTACATAAAAAACACAAAAGTACATACTAATGACCAATCATATTTGCATAGGTCATGTTCACCATCATGGTAGGCGAAGATTGAAGTCTATTGTTTCTTGTACACACAGTTTAGGCTGTATGTGACTAATCACCAAAAGTGCTTCCATCACCTTCGATAACCAACCTTGAATTAGAGTTATGTGGAATACTTGTGAAACAGTCATTAATATCGATTGATTTTGTAACCTGACATTAAATAAGTACTTTGCAATGGATGATGATGCTGGATTTCTATTCAGATTAATCGCGTTGGGATTTTCGATATGATTTAATAGCCATTTTGAAACATGTTCTTTTCGACCGCGACATTGGAACATTTTGTTGGTTCTACCCATATAAGTGTCACCGCAACAACTGCAGGTGAACTTGTAGATACAGTTTGAAGTACAGTCCACAGAATTTCATCCTTTAATCGTAGGTACTGGGATCGAAAATGTTCGGCAAGTGACAAAAAGAGATGTGGCGGCGTGGAATGTGCGTTTGACGGCCGACCGAAGTCTTTGAGCTAGCTGTCAACTGTATAATCTGGTCGCCCTTGAATGGTAGATTAATAAAGATAGCTTTCTTTGGTACAGAAGCTGTCTTTTCAAGATGTCATCTATCCTTACCGTGACAAGTGATAAAGTTTTCCGGATAACCATTAGCTAATAAAACTGAATGTATACGTCGAAGCTCATCCATCAATGTGTCACTCGTGCATATTTTTCGGGCCCTTGAGAACAAACATTTCACGCACTAGGGAACGTTTATGCTGGATAGGAGCAAAACTGGCAAGATGAAGATATTGTCCACTCCATGTCTGTTTACGAAAAATAGATCGCTGAATCGTTCCATCATCTCTCCTGGTCATTGTAATATCCAGGAAACCGAGCTTGTTATTCGATTCTAGTTCGGAAGTCACTCGAATATTTGGATGAATATGATTAAATAGGGTAATAAAGTTTTCAATAGATTTACTGTTATTACCAATAATGAGAGTATCATCTACATAACGACGTTTATACAGCATAAATCCTCCAAGCAAACATTGCATTTGTTTCTCTAATTTCGACATAAATATATCTGCTAACTGCGGCCCCAGAGGGCTCCCCATCGCAACACCATCGATTTGTTTATATGCCTTTTCTTGGAAGGTCACAATCTAATATTTTCTGTACACATTAAGATGATGTCTTTGATGTAAGTTACAGGAATAGAGATACAAAAATCAATAGACTTCAATCTTCGCTTATCCTGGACTACATGACCTATCTAAATATGATTGGTCATTAAGTATGTACTTTTGTGTTTGTTTTTTATTTAACTGAATAATTTTATTTATTTATTTTTTGATTACAGCTTGATTTCACACCATATTTTTGGTACAAGTATGGAATTTTCAGCATGGATATCGGTAGCCCAAATTTTGCAGGCCGACCATAGATATCAGGTGTGCGTCGGCGTGGGCTCGAACCTCGGACTATGTGCATGGTCGGCGAGAGTCCTAACCACTGTGCCACCGACGCACATTTATTTTATTATTATTATTTATTATTGTTAACCATGTTAGCAGTTGTAAAGCGGTTGTAAAGAAACTACGAAATGATGCCATCACCTCGCGAAATTTACCTTCTTAAAAATAATAATAATAATGATTTACTTTATTCCAAAAACAGTACTTGTGATACAGAATAGAATTTCCAGCATTAATCACAATATTGCATCTAATTTCCTCAAATTATAAATATAAATTAATCACACAGAAAATGTTCCACATTTACAATAGAGGTAGTGTCAAAAACATGCAGCATATAAAATGGAAATAGCAATAATAATGATAACAGCTAAGGTAATAATAATAATACAAGTGAAAAATTCCCGTGGGCTTATTTCACACAGTATCGTCGGTGCGGTATAGAAATCTTAGCATGATCAAAAAAATATTGAATATAATGTTCTCTTTACATGATATGGTGAGGGGAAAAACAAAGATTACAGACAGCAGTCATAGAGATAAGTTGGTGTTTGCAGTTATGAAAGTAAAACAAACAAAGAAGCAACAGGACCATAAATATAATAGAAGTAATAAAAGTAAAACTTGAAGGTATATAAGGATGGATGGATGGAGGAAATTGTTTATTTACGAGATGGAAAAAGGTTAGTTAATTCTTGCCTGACACTATTTTCATGACATAAAATACGTGCCAAGTATGGTATCATAGAATTTTTATACTTAGACGTTCGAGCATACAGTTTTCTGAAGTTACTACTTGTTCTACCTGAGGAGACGCAAGGTGAAAGCTGAGGGTAAAGTGGATGCTCCAAGTCAGACAAAATCCCTTTAGCAAATTTATTGCACGTGGTCAAGTGCCTATCGACAACGATGTTAACCATGTGGTCCACTGGGACACCACTCACCCTACTGACAGTCTTCAGTATTCTACGAATTGTGACATAGTCTTTTTTAAGCAAACCAGGGAAGAATAAGGGTGAACAATAAAGAATAGGTAGGATGCAAGAGTTTATGAACTGTAAGAGGAGGGGTTGAGGTATATCCGAGTGCCTTATTCAAATAAAATAACATGACATTATTCTTCGTTATTATTCTTAGAACAATGTACTGAAGTAAAAAGAAAAACAAAAATGAAGGGAAAGTGATCTTATACCAGTTTACTTGCTCTTGTGGAGCTGAGTACGTTGGCCGTAGTACCATGCGCCGACTTGAAATAAACGCGCTTGTGAACACTACCCTGCCTGGTTAGTAAAAGGAGACCAAAAGCGTACTGTATACAGTTCAGTGACAGAACATCTGGTCAATTCAGGACATTCAGTGCCTTTCGAAAAATCCTTCAAAGTAATATACAAGATTCAACCAATCAAAGGGAGTGAAATCAAGACATCTGGGCATATAGCCAAGGCGCTAGCTATCCAAAAGCTCAAAGCCACGCTTTGTATCCAAAAGAAATACGTCCAAGCCCTGTCCCTGCAATGGCCATCATAAACAGGCAAATTTTTTTAGTAGTGACTATCCTATCGCCTTTCTCATCTAAACTTCCTGTTTATTCATGTTATTTTTTAAAAGTTTTTCTTAACCCCTGTTTACACTACCATATTTTCATAGCCGAACTTCGTGTTTATTTTGTCATTTTACTATTTCTACATATTTAATCCCTGATTGCATAAACAATTATTCATCACATTAGTTTTTTTTATCCAAACATCCTGTCTATTCTTGTTATTTCTACATTTCTAACCCCTAATTGCACAATGTCAATCTTCTTAGTTATTATGATGCTACTTTGTTTGAGTTTTATCCGTCCCCCGCCCCTGTTTATTATGGCACTCTAATTCCTAATTTTAATTTTTATTCATTTGCCCCTTAACCTGAAATTATTCTGGAACTTTCCCCCTCACCCATTTATTATAAATACACGAATGTACAGCTGTCTAGTTGACGGTGACTTCGTCGAAAAAGAAAATTTTCTTCACTGCAACTGTCTTCTTAATAATTCACTTACTTGTAAGCCAGAGGGACAGAATGCAAAGAATGCAAATATATGCGTGTAAGGCGAATCACACTAACGATTAACTAAATCCATGCAACACTAATACAGATTGTTTCTTCAGAGCTATTATTCTCTAAACTGCTTATCAGACGGTTTTCCAAAAACCATAATCTGTGTTTCGATTAGTGCGCTACAATTGCTTAGTTACATAAAACTCTCATTTCTCTGGTGTTTCTCTCACCACGAAGTTTTGGAAATTATTGCAATCCGTTTATACTTTCAAACACTAAACCTGTGGATATAATCTTGTTGTTGATTACTAATACCTATAACAAACTGTTTGACATTTTGTGACTTTTTCACACTAACTCATATCTGTAATTGTATATATTGTTGGATTTATATGTTCAGGTTGGCCCAAGTCAGTGAGTCTATGGTTCTCGTATCATTTTAGTCAACTGTGCTTAACTGTATTGCATGTTGTTGTATTGTATTGTTGTTGTCGCTTGTTGCCATTTTTGCTGTGAATTATTTTCCTTTTGCTGTTGTTCTGATTGTTTTATTCCTTCTATTCCGATTTTAAGGGGAGTCGAAAGAAAAAGTCCGTGTGGGGACATGGAACGTCCGCAATGGGAGGAACCTGAAAGAAGCAAGCTCATTTACCCACCCACCTGGGAAGCATCGTTTCAACTACAGGCAGACGGAATTGACGAGGATATCAAGGCAGCGAGGATCGGAAAAGCAAGACAAGCTTTCATGACTCACGTCAAGTTTGTGTGGAGGTCAACACACAGCACTCACCATCAAAAATAACATCCGGATTTTCAACTCCAATGTGAAGTCAGTCAGTTCTACTGTACGGACGGATCAGAGACTTGGCCAGCGCGTCATAAAGAGCATCTCAAACAAACTTCAGACCTTCATTAACAGTTAGCTGTCTTCGCTCAATACCACTCAAGATCAGATGGCCGGCCAGAAAAGATCAGCAATAGTGAGGGATCATCTCTGGCAATGAGCGAACCAACCCAACAGGAACCGATTGTGAAACAAATAGGCAGGAAGAAATGGAGATGGATTGGCTGGCTATACTCTGAGGAAACCATCAAGTAAGTGACATCGCTAGACAAGCCATTGCTCGAGTGGAACCCGAAAGGGAAGCGGCGAGTTGGTGGTCAGTGCGAGGGTGGGGTGACTTGGAGGATGAGGTCATGTGAAGAGGAGATGAAAGCATGTGGGGGCAGACTTGGAGCGGGGTGAAAAAGTTGGCAGAAAACCGACGCGCAGCTGAAGCCCTATGTTCCTCTAGGAATTAAAGGATATAATAATAATAGCAATACCAATAAGTGGGAAATAGCAAGTTAAAAGTGAAACATGACACGTTACACTATCAGGAAGTAAGTAAGTAAGTAGGCGAACACGCCTACTACTATACATATAGAAGCTGCTGCCATCAATAAGTAGTTGGCCAAGTTGTCACACGTTGGATATACCCACCAACTAGAAGGTAGGTAGTAAGATGTACGGCAAGAGTGTGAAAAGAAAAAAATGTCAAAAATTGTTGTAACCCCACTCCCTACCATAAGATAAAAGAATATTTAGTGAATGCCTTATGAATACATCTGCACTGCTTCTTAAATAGCTTTTTAGTTACATTACCAAAGGTTTCTAACTGTATCAGGGGAAACGGTTTCAACTAACTGTGCAGGACCAATTATGCGTTGTTTATTCATGTAATGAAGGACAATAGTGAACTATTCCACTATTCGACTATAGAGTGATTGAATTCTTGAAAACGACTGCAAAAAGAAACAGCTTTCGTTTCTACAGAAACATGCACATTACGAAAGTTCCAATCACTCGGCATATGCCAACTTAGGCCATCTCTGGTTCAGTATACGTGATATCCGACTGGCTATCGATCAGAAGACGTGTGTGTACTACTCAGCAGTCCACTCCATCTTCATTTATGGCTGGCTGTGGTGAGCCATGGCCATTAAAAGTGGAGGACATGGAAAGCCTGACTGGGTGTCGTCTCCCATGTTAGGTGGTATAACAAGGTGGGCGATACTGAGGTGAGGCATCGGTCGAGTACTAGGTAAAGATAGGAAATCAATCGATTGAGGTGATTAGGACATGTGTCGCACAGCCTGTCTAGCCATTGCTTTCCTCGACGGGTGATGTTAGCAGACTTAGGATGGACCACCAGACTGGAAAATAGCAAGTGGTGATCAAACCAAAACATGGCTTCATCAGTCAGTCAAATCCATAACAGTTAGTTTAAGCCAGCCAGTCAGTCCCGTAGTGAGATGTAGACCGGCTGGTCGGTTGGCGTTCCCAGGTTGGTAAGAACCAATGCCTGGAAACAGTCGATGAATGGCTCAAAATCGGTCTCAATGCATAAAGCAGATCCATCTATTCACTCCTCGTGATTTATGATATCCAACAAAACTCTATTGTGTTTCCATATTACTAATCTCTTTTGCCTCATATTCCTGTCCATTATCTCCCTCTCTCTCTCTCTTCTTATGAATCTATCTTTACTCTCTTCCCTTGCTTTGTGTGTTACATGAGGGAAGTGTGGCAACTCGAACTGCTGCACATACGTCTGTGCAAAGTTCTACGTTGAAACCAGTCAGTCAGTCAGGGAACACACCGAAAGGGATTTTCCTGGAGTTTCTGTATGAATGCAAATAGTGTGAAATTAGGCAGAAATTGCACACGTTTCTGTAGCACGCATAACAATGTGTACTACTCTAAGCACTTATAATAAGTATGAGCACATCAAAGATAGTGGCAACCACCCGTTCGATTCTTCGAAATGCAAGGAATACGCCAGCGCTCATGCCTGCAAAATTATAATTTAAGTTGGACATATGTACACCACTGAGACTTCATACATTAAGATAAAAAAAAGAGTTAAAGTATGTTAAAAAGTAAAGCATGTGTATTCACATGATAGCTCACCTGTTCAAAACCAGAACAAGGTTTGTGTCTGGTGTTAATTAGACTAGCGATAGAAGATAGAAGGACAGGACGATTGCGCCAGCTGCGCTCAAGAACTGACCACGCTTTGGTAAATGAATCATGCATATCTCCACCTTTCAGTTGCACACTTCTAAAACGTGAAGACTTCGGCTGATTGTTATCCACCACAGGACTTTGTTCTATCATAGACGATTTCTTGGTGGTCTGGATTGCGTCAGATACCCTTCCATCATTGCAACTGCTGCGATTTTCGGATGTGTTTGAAGATTCAGCAGGCACAGCATCATTTGGACCCACATATAACTTCTTTTTAACTGGCATATAACGTGCTTTAATACTACAGCTGTCTGCCAAGTTTCGCAATCGTCTCCAAAATCTCCTATCTTGAGGAACAATATCTTGCAAAACCGTTTGAACTCGACCAATCCGAGCTAAATTCAAGTAGGTGGACAACAGACCCAAACTACGGGCTTGTGATGGAGTCAGAAAGCGAACGAAATCCTCCCACAATGGTAGATGGTTTTTCAAACAATTCAATACACATACAAGAGATACGAGAACTTCATTTCTGCTCGACTGCTGATCATGATTACTACCACCCGCTGATGTGGGATAATGAACAGCTTGATTAAGATTCATTAAGCTGCGCATCATACACCGGTAATCAGAGGGAGCTAAATAAGTTCGACATCGATCTAACAAGGAACGCGCCCGTCTGACATCCATTTCATCCATTAGCGTTTGTGATTGACTTATAACCGAAGATGGCAAGGTTAAAAGGTCAGCTGAAGTAGCATCTCCACGTGCACGACAACGTGCAATAAAACGACTGGAAGACACAAAACAAGCACTGGGGAAAACACCAGCTTGCTGGCTTTGACACTCATCACTAATAACAGCTGGAGAGTCCGGGATAGGCTGGACATGACTGGGCCACCCAATATGGTTAAACTTCTTTGGGCTAAAATATGTGTCTCCACCATAATCACCGGAAAATCTATCGAAACCGAGATGAAAGGTGTTCACTAGAGAATCAGCTACCTTTTGACAAGCATCTAGCGCTACATTCCCAGTATTATTATTATTATTGTAATAAGATTCGAAAACATTTGAAATTTCAATAAATTGTTCGCCTTGACTGAAATCACTAACACTAGGCTTCGCAACACCATTCAAAATATCGCAATCTGCAACGCTCCGCTGTGCTTCATTTTTATTTGTATAACTGACTGTATCTGACTTTCGTTTGTTAATACGGGCCAGGATGAATTCAATATGACGTGATGCAGCACGCTGGCACACACGACCATGCTGCTGTATTTCTGAGCTTGGTAAGTTCGTCGAGTTTTCATTTTCGGAAATTGACCCCCCGGGCTCATCTGTCATCCCGGTAACTTCAACCAAACCAGGCTCTCTAGTTCTGCTGAGAACCACAGTACTGTGAAAAGAGAGAATAACACAAGAATTTGTAAGGCAAGAAAAGTCAAGTAAACAATTAAAAATTTAAAAAAAACCCAGCAAACTTGGAATCAAATGTGAAATAGGCATGTGGTGTTCATCACCGGTCTCAACTACTTCCCATTCGTAATTCACAACTGGGTCTAAGGTTCGAAAACCACTTCACGTGAAGGGATTTGGATGATCATATATATATTTATATATATCTAAGCATAGATACTGTTGAAAACATGATAACTCACCCATCAGGATTAAGATCAACTGGTATAGCAGGTAGGTAATTTGGACCGAGAACATCACACTGGATAGATTGTTCCGATTTGATCATAGATTCGTTGTCTAAAACCGACAAGTAGTTTATTTCTGCTTCTTTAGTTTGAGATGCCTTTTCCATTTGCGATTTCCAAAAACACTTTGCATTTTGCGCGAATTCAGTTAGTACATCCAACTTGCGTTTTACGCTTTCACCACAGTTATTATTATTATAACTTCTTAATACATCCTCATAACCTACTTCAGTCGGAAGTCCTTCAAAAGTAAACAGTTTCTGAGGATTTCTATCAGTTAAACATGCGGTAATCAGCGGTATACCATAAGGAGTAGCAAGAGAACTCATTTTATTAGCATATTGTTGCATTCTTTTAAGATCTAATTCATCATCCGGTTGACTTAATTCCTTATAGAGTTGAAGTAGATAACGAGTGGCAAGTGATACTGGTTTTGAATCTCCTGCATTATCTATGCTATCACGATTAGCTAGCATATTCCATCGACGAGACCGCAACTGTAAAAATGTACGATGTGGAAGTATATACCTACCGATAAAACGATAGGCAATATAACGTCCTAATTGTTTATTTTGAGACTTTAAAGTTTTTGAGAAGCAACGTCGACTAGACACTTTAGATTCAAGAGCTTTACGACGACGGGTTATTAAAGCACCGGAAAAATCTGCCAATCCCATTATCATCAAAGCATCTTCTGACGGATGAAATACTAGGCGAACTTGATTTTTAGGATGAGGTCCCAAGACGGTAGGCATTAAATAAGCATAAGACCAGATAGGACTGTTCACCATTATATCTAGTAAACAGTATGGAATTGGGAAGCCAAACGATTGCGATTTATTCACAGCATGTCCTACTCCCGGCTTATTATAAGGATTATTCCATGGTGAACGAGGCAGCATAGATAATCCAGAGTAATCAGAAATTAAATCAACCGCCATGTCTAGGGTAGGACAACGCCAATAGAAGCTAGTTAGCGAATGAATTGCAACACCGGAAACTTTTTTTTGAAGTGCGATTAAATCAAAAGCCTGACGTTTGGCAACTAAAGTTTTGAGAAGAGATGCACATGGTCGTGTCGTTGATTCGTGCATATCAGGAAAATCATACGTCAGTAGGAAACTTGTAGTCAACAATTGTATGTGCATTCCCAATTGACGTTCTAATCGAACTAGTTCTGTACTTGTTAACCTGAAACAACAATGGACATAACATAAGTGATAAATTAGCTTGTCATCCTAAGAAATAATTTTAAGCACAGTTTGGTTAATATACAATTTATGGATTTACTACAAATAGCATATAGAGCTGAATCAATTAATATCAAACAATATTTACCAGATAGAAAGGAGGTATGTTCAACCAGTTTTACTTTTGTTTTTCCCTTCACGTTTCCCAGTGGAACATAGGGCTTCAAGTTTCTGTAGTAGTGATTAGTTTTACAGGATGGGATGGGATTGCTAGCCAGCCTCATCATGCCCAACCTTTCCTCTACACCAGCATTATTTCCGGCTTAGCGAGGTAAAGGAGTGCGTCGTCTTTGGCCGAGGGGATCGAACCCCGGACCATGTGTGCATGGTCAGCGAGCGTCCTAACCACTATGCCACCGACTCGCAATTGGATAATGTTAGTGCACGTCAATTCTTTTCCAAGGCGCTTTTTAAAAATCTTTCTTTTGTATTCAACATCATACTACTTACTAATAGTAAGTAGTTTATTTATTTATTTTATTAATTTACCCTACTGTGTATTTATTATTATTGTTACTTAGTATACAAAAAAATAAACTATATTTGTACGAATGTCATTAGTGTGAATCCGATTGCAGCTGAAGTTTTCATTCACATTTCGATATCTATCTTCCTTTCAAATTTAGAACAACACATTTAAGCGAACAATATTGCTGTTTTCAATTAGATCTCATCAGGCTTAACTCTAATATATATAAGTTTACAAATAAAAATTCAAATACAAACCAATCATGGTGTTTTGTCTATAGGATAATAAGATGGTGAATATAAATTGTACAATTAGTCATAATAGTAGTAATGATAATAGTAATAATAATAATAATGGTCTCATCAATAATAATAATGATGAAAAAGTGAGGCAATCTGTAATAACACGAATAATGAAAAACAGTATGATTAAACAAACAATTGTTCAGGTGGAAGTAGTCGATAAAGGCTAGTAAAAACAAGTGAACCGATTAAGTAATGCTAGACTGTAAGGGAAGTAAATGAGACACGCTTTTAATGAAGATGTGATAAGATTAAGGGATGATAAGAAAGGGGTCTTGAGTTGGTTATGTCTTATTAGGCCAAGGGATGGATAATGGCTGTACGAACTTCTTTTGAATACACAGTTTAGGTTTAATAGTTCGAATGCCTATCGCCTGCCTCAGCTGTGTGCAGTAGACAAATACGAAGTCTATTGGATAGATTCGTTGGGATAAGATGAACTACTTTGAAGGCTCTCGTTTTATCGACTACATGACCACTATCAATTAGATGTGACAGAATTGAGCTACGGATTGTTTTTGTGTCCTTCGCCACACCACGATGGGAGATGTTCACTAACACATCGGCTAAGCTGTCTAGTAGTACGCCCAATATAACTGTCACCGCAGGTGCAGTTGAAGTGATAAATACACATAGATGTGTGAAAACTGTCAAGCTTATCCTTCGTTTGCGTCCCAATCATTCGTCGGCTAGAGAATGACAAACATAGGTGTGCTGCGTAAAATGTTCTACGTATACTCCTTGAAAGTCTTTGGAATAGAATCTCACTAGATAAGTCACCATTAAATTGTAACTTAATAAGTAGAGATTTCTTATGTGCAGTCATAGTCACAGGTTGTTTCTCTGATGGTTTCATATGTTTCTTTATGAAACTACTCGGATAGCCAGCCCATCTCTGTCAAGGAATCGTGAATATATTCAAATTCCTTTTGTAAGAGGTCATCCGTACATACCTTCCTTGCTCTGCGCACGAGACATTTTACAACATTCCTTTTATATTTAATGGGCACGTAACTAAGGAAGTGTGTGTATTACCCTGTGAATGTGCTTTTTCTGTACACACTTCTCCCAAGTGACCCATCTTCTCTCCTACTTAGAAAGACATCCAGGAAATGTAGTTTATTCTCCTGCTCCTCTTCACAAGTAAAGGTAAGCGAAGTGGGTGGATGTTGTTGAATTTAAGTAACAATTCGTCTTCCAAATGTAGGATGAATTTCTTCTTACAAATGGCAAATAATTCAGATACTTTATTTAACGGTATGTGTTAATAATTCACACCCAAATGTCTGTCTATCATTCAGTGGTCTTTCGTCGGCTTTCAGTTTTCATTCTACACATGACGCGTTATTTAGTATTATTATTAAATCCTTTGATTCCTAGAGGAACATAGGGCTTCAGCCACGCGTCTCCAGTGCCTTCGATTTTCTGCCAACTTTTTCACCCCGCTCCAAGTCTTCCCACATGCTTTCATCTCCTCTTCACATCACCTCATCCTCCAAGTCACCCCACCCTCGCACTGACGACCAACTCGCCGATTCCCTTTCGGCCAGGTTCCACTCGAGCAATGGCTTGTCTAGCGATGTCACTTACTTGATGGTTTCCTCAGAGTATAGCCGGTCAATCGATCTCCATTTCTTCCTGCCTATTTGTTTCACAATCGGTTCCTGTTGGGTTGGTTCGCTCATTGCCAGAGATGATCCCTCACTATTGCTGATCTTTTCTGGCCGGCCATCTGATCTTGAGTGGTATTGAGCGAAGACAGCTAACTGTTAATGAAGGTCTGAAGTTTGTTTGAGAGGCTCTTTATGACGCGCTGGCCAAGTCTCTGATCCATCCGTACAGTAGAACTGACTGACTTCCCATTGGAGTTGAAAATCCGGATGTTATTTTTGATGGTGAATGCTGAGTGTTGACCTCCACACAGACTTGACGTGAGTAATGAAAGCTTGTACAGACTACTTATGAAACATTAGAGGCGCAATGTTTCTGGTAAGCTACCACCAGCCAACATGTGTGCATGTGGTCTATATGTCGTTCAAAAACAAGCTTGCACAGACCGAAGCAAGACACCGATTTCTGATAAGTCAAAGGGCATTAAATACAACATTCAGCAGGAAGGCAATGGCTAGGCGGGCTGTGCTACACATGTCCTAATCACCTCAATCGATTGATTTCCTATCCTTACCTAGTACTCGACCGATGCCTCACCTCAGTATCGCCCACCTTGTTATAACACCTAACACGGGAGATAGAACACAGATACCTATGGTCGAAGATAGCTAGTCAGGCTATCCATGTCCTCCACTTCCAATGGCCATGGCTCACAGCCAGCCATAAATGAGGATGGAGTGGACTGCTGAGTAGTACAAACACGTCTTCTGATCGATAGCCAGTCGGATATCACGTCTACTGAGCCAGAGATTGCCTAGATTGGCTGAAAAATGACAAACGAGTCCTTTGTATGAGTGCTGAGATTTCATCAGCGATCAACCCACTGGAGAAGGCTGATGCTACCTCTCAAATAAGTGAAGTGGTCAACACGCTCCAACACTCCAACCTCTATCTTTAAGCTAGGAGTCAACGTAGTCCAGTCTCCTGACATCATCTTACATTTGACAGGAGTGAATCCCATGCCAAATATTCGAAGATTGCTACTCCTCCTCAAGGTGTTCAGAAGACTCTGCATTTTGTTGGCGTCTTCACCTAGCACAGAGGACTATATCATCTGCATATTATAAGTCAATGTGACTATTATTCTCTGATAACAAGTCAGTCTTGGAAGACAGTTACGGTTGAGTTCATTAGTAGTACATTTATGATGAAATCAAACAGAAATGGGGGCAATGGGCATCCCTGACGGACACCACTGGTTGTCACCTGAATTGGTGACAACCCTCCGTAGTCGTCCACCTGGCTGGCTGCATAAGTTGAAAATAGATTAAGTGCCCTGATTAATGCCATGTATACTCCCGGAATTCCCTTCACGGCCAAACATCGCCATTGTAACTCTCGGTCGACGGAATCGAATGTCGCTTTCACGTCAAGAAATATGACGATTGTTGGACACCGGTAAGTATGCAACCTGCGTTCCAGAAACTGTCGAAGGGTGGAGATATGATCAATAAACCCTCTTCCTGGTCTGAAGCCTGCCTGGTTCTCGCGTCTTTCTTCCTCTCAAACACCACTTAGTCACCACATAATTGTTCAGTCTAGAACTTTAGATACCGTATTATTCAAGCTAATCCCTCTGTGATTATCACAGGAAGACCTTCTTGTCTCCCTTCTTGTATATAAAGATAATTAGTGACTAACACCAGCTGAAAGGGACGTCCTCTGATTCCCAGACGCTGCCTAACACCTTAGTTAACGCAGAAAGTAAACTGTCTTCAGCGTCCTTAAACACTACTGAAGTAATTCCACCAGCTCTACCTCGTTTCAGACTAGTGACAGCTTTCGTAACCTCAGTTAGGGTTGGGGACGGAGGACCGGCGTTTATATCTCATTCAATTCAGGGAGGTGTTGGATACTCGGTAAGTTGAGTGTGACTGTGGGCCAATTAAGTTGCTCCTCGTAGTGTTCTTTCCAGTGTTCCAGTCGTCTATCCTGAGGGCTAATTAAGGTGCCATTTTCCTCGGGGGTTGTTTCACTTATCATTTGCCTTTCGCCACCCGCTTCCCTGATAATTCTAAACAGTGTTTAATGTTACCTATCACCGATGTCTTTTCCATCTCGCTTTTGTCGCCTACCACTGTTCACAGTGGCCTTTGAGCAGCTTTCGCTCATCATATTCGGAGCTCACTGGAATCACTCCACTTGCCTTAATCAGTTCGGGTGAGGTAGTAGAAATCCATACTAACTTTTGGTTTCACGTTATTAACAGCTTATACACCTGTGTCCACAGTTAACTGTATATTGCGTCAGGCTTCCTCATGAGGAGTCTTGCTGTCCATCTCCGATACGTGTTTAGTTATTTCTACCTTAAATAGAGGCTCAGGGTTTTCATCTAGTTGGGGACGTAAGTAACTGCCTTTCTGACAACAGTGTTTTATGCCCATTTCATTATAAGCATAAACGTGAGCGAACCAGAGCGTGATCAGAGTCTACGCACGTGTTCCAGAAGGAGCGACAGTCTCCTACTGACCCTCGCCAACCATAGCCTATCGATATGTGGTATATTTGAGTCCAACATTGATCTGGAGATGGAGGTCACCAGATTACACAATGTCTCTCTTTGTGTCTAAAGTTAGTGCTGACTAGGAACAGACGATTTTCTAAACAGAACTCTAGAAGACGATCACCGTTATCCGTTCGTCAGCAGGGAACTCCGTACGTACCACCTACGTACTTATCAATCTGGAACAACTTCCCTACTTCGGCATTGAAGTCGCCTGTTAAAACAACTATATCGGAACGTTTTGCTTTTTGCAGCAAATTAGACAGTTTCAGGTAGAAGTCATCCTTTAGTTCACTCAAACTGCAGTCTGTTGGGGAGTAAGCGGAGATCATGAAAAGACAACAACGAGTGGCGCTGTCTTTCCTTCTTCTGACGAACCGATTCACACGGACCGCACACATACGACTATCTACTGGGATCCAGTCAAGAAGTGATTTTTCCGCCCTAACACTCAGTGCTATCACTACACCTGCGAGTCGCCGCGAGCTAACTGAGGAGTCTCGGGATACAGATAAGGCGAATTTCGTAGATTCACTTTGTTCATCGAGTGGGGCTAAATCAATATAAAACTACACTAGGGCTTTGTGTGAGTTACTCCGAAGGACAACATGCATCCATGGCTTGAGATACCAGAGATCTCGCTAGTGATGTCTGTTGTCTGATTTAGCAGAGTGTTTGGACGTTAAATGCTCCAATATGAAGTCGCCGGGCGTTCCTTTAAGACGCTATCGGGGCTGTTTTTATAGCTGTCATCGTTATTTGTGGTCACAAAAATAGGATGAAGATGACTGGCTAGCCTGCAAAGCACTACTGACAGTATTGATTTATTTTTTTTTATTTTATTTTTGATTACAGCTTGATTCCACACTGTATTTTTGGTACAAGTATGGAATTTTCAGCGTGGATATCGGTAGCCCAAAATTCGCAGGCCGACCATAGATATCAGGTGTGCGTCGGCGAGAGCTCGGACCCGGGACCACATGGATGGTCGGCGAGAGTCCTAACCACTGTGCCACCGACGAAGAAGGGGAAGTGAGATGATGAGGGTGACAGTGGCAAAGAGAAAAATGATGATCTGGAGGCTTTGTGTACTTTTGGATATATGAGGGAAATTTCAATGAATAACAACAAGGGAAAAAGAAATATACACATTTATATATTTCGTGAATCATGAAGCTGTGTGAATCCATTAATAGGATAGGATTATGAGCAATAATAAATTGCGCTCCAAATATCATCAAGTTTTCCAGACTGTATCATCACTGCGTGTTATATTTCAAATACATTTCCGTGAAATTGTGTGGTTGAATAGAGCAACCTATAAGAAGTCATGTTGTTCCTAAAATCTACCTGGAGCATCACTACTGGACAACAAAATACACGTGTTAGTTACTAAAAAGAAAAAGACATCTAGAATTACTAACAAATACTAACAATAGCTCGCTTGTTGGTAAAGAACGTAGTGTTTACAAGTAAAATGTTCATCTTAAAACATGTCAAGCGATTCGGTAATGATGCGTAGGTATTCTGTCTGTCTGTTTTCGGCATGGAACTTTGCACAAATGTGCGGGACTTCAAGTCGCCACACTCCCTCCCCCCCCCATGTAGCACACAAAGCAATAGAAGAAAGTAGAAGAAATGCAAACTGGAGACAGCAAACAGAGGTGTGAGACAAAAGAATAGTAATAACGAAGAACAAAACAGTTTCATTGGAAATCATACGTCACAAGGAGTGGATGCATCGGCAACAGCCATTGACAACAATGAGTTTGAACCATATCACCGATTCTTTCCAACCATAGGTTTCTACCGTTCCGAAGACCCCGACCAGTCATTCAGGAAGTATACACCTTCCTACGTGGCTGAGGCTAACTGTTGTAGATTTCATTGACAGGGGAAGCCATGTTTCGGTTTGACCGCCACTGGCTAGCTCTTTTCCAGCCTGACCCTGTGTCAGCTAACATTTCCCGTCAGTGGAGGAAGGCGATGACTAGGAATACGTAACACGTGTCCTAACCATCTCAGTCGATGTAACTTCACAACCTCGTTGATTGATTTCCCCTCCTTACCTAGCACTCAACCGATGCCTAACCTCAATATTGCTCACCTTATTATACCACTTACCACACACACGGGAGATGGAACGCAGGCACCTATGATCAAAGACAGCTAATCTTTCCATGTCTTCCACTCACAATGACCACGTCTCACAGCTGGCCATAAAGGAGGACGGAGCGAACTGATGAGCAGTACACTCGACCTTTGGTCGATAGCCAGCCAGCCGGATATCACGTCTACGCCAGAGACGGCGTAAACTGGCAAATGCGAAACCAGCCCTCTGTATCCGTACTCGGCTGAGATTTCGTCAGAGATCAACCCTTTGGCGTTAGCTGATGGTACTTCCCAAATAATTGAAGCGGTCAACGTGCTCTACCACTTCACTTCCTATTTTTAAACTAGGCGTCGATGTAGTCCAGTCCTGTAACATCATCTTGCTTTTGGCGGGAGCGAATTGCATGACAAGCATTCGTAGATTGCAGCTCAAGGTGTTTAGAAGGTATTCTAGCCTAGACACGTCTATATATGTGGTGATTAATATTTTTAATTACTACGACAAATTATTGCTCTTGTTGCAAAATAGTTCAGACTTATAACTAGAAAAATAATTCGAATTTCTACACCGACTGACAATCAAAAATGAGCAATTAACCAAAACTAACGCCATTCTTTTGCGTATTGGGATTGAAACAACAGATGTATTCAAGCTTTTCGATGAAGGCATAGCGGATTGAAAGAAACGCGTCATGTCAAATTTCTCGGTTTGATTTGGTGTTGTGGTACAATCCATTTGTAATTGGCGTTGACGATAGGCCTTCATTGCTAAAGCTGACGGTCTCCTTGATGTATTATAAGTAGAATTGTCTTGTTCCTCAGTTCCATAGTTAAACAGTGTGCGTAAATCTGCGCGTAGATTCTAAGAAGGCACAAAAAAGTATCTAAATGAAGCATAATAACAGATTGGATAAATTACACCTTTAAAAATAAAAAACAACATTTGACTACTTTGGAATAGTCTGCTGGTTTCATCTGCCAATTAGTATTGGAATAAATCAATGACTTTTATATGTACCTAGTGACAGAAAGACTTGAAGCAATACTTGTCAAGGATACCTTCGTAATCACGATATCTATGCTTGAAAAGCAAGCACGATCAAATGCAGACGTCAAATAAAAGTGATATAGTGATATGATATGATTATTATTGTTGTTCCCTTGGGTTTCTAGTGGAACATAGGGCTCCAACTGCACGTCTCCACTTGCTTCTGCTGTACTTTTCACCTGAACCATCCATCTTAGTTAATCCATACTGTTTCAACTCCTCTTCACACCATCTCCTCCATGTCGCCCTTGCACTAACGTCCCACTCGCCACCTACCTTTTGGCCTGGTTCCACTCGAGGATCACCCAGCGGCCTCCTCAGCGAGTGTCTAATCCATCTCCACTTTCTCCTGCATATTTGTTGGGCGATTAGTTCTTGTTTTGTTCGTTCCCATAGTTTCTTGTTGGCGATTCTTTCCAGCCCGGCCATCTGATTGATCTTCAGTATAGAGCGAAGACAGTTGTTGATGAAGGTCTGCAACAGGCTGTTGGTGGAAATATTCTTTGTGACTCACTCGCCAAGTTTCTGATCCGTATAGAAGAACTGACTGACTTGACGTTGTTTGTATTGAATTGAATCCGACCGAATTTTGTTGTTGATTGTGGCTGAGTGACGAAGATTTCCAGATTGGTTTCAGGTTGATGCATGTGTTTCTCGCCCACCACCCGATTCTCGCTCGATTTGACATCCTCGTCCGTTCCGACTGCCTGTAGTTGAGACAATGCTCCCTAGATAAGTGAGTGAATGAAGTAACCTCTTTCAAATCCCTCCCGTTGATGGTGATTGGCGATGGATATGATATGATATATTTAGTTAACTAATCATAAGATGAAAGTCAATGTAAACTTCCTACTCAATTTTGCCTGGGCTTTCCTGTTACCTATCGTATAAACCCCTTCAACTTGTACAAAACAATTTCTATAGAATTTTATAGTGTTTGTCAACCTCACAATTATTACCGGTAAGACTGCATAATTTGTCCATAGATTAACATTTGTGGATTAACAATGATGACCGAGAGTGAGAAATGAAAAGGTGTTGTTTGTTTTTCTAATGGGATTTGAACACAAGCTAGTTTCTTCCGTTGATCCGTCGATAGACTGCACAGCCAATAATGCAGGTCATCCCTGATGCTAACCAATGCAAAAAATGTGTAATCCTAATTGTGTATTGATCAAAATTCCCCTACCAGGTGTAGAATGTGGTCATTTTTATTTGACACTAGTAACTAGTGTGATGTGTCTAGTCCTCTCATTGGTGCCGACTGAATTTTATCAGTCAGGTTGTAATGTGGCCACCATGCCACTGGGTAGCTGGCCATCACGGTGAACATTGATTAGATGGTATTAGATGGTTGGAGGCAATCGGCCACAGGAAGCCTTGGACACCACCTAGGTTTCGTGCTAGTTGGCACCCGTCAGCAAGGCGTATCTGCAACCTTGAAGGAACTCATGTCCGCCATCTGAGATTCGAACCCGCGTCACCCAGTGCTCCAGTCAGTCAATCGCGAGCCCGAATAGCTCAGTGGTAACGTCTCTGACTGCAGAATTGGGTGACGCGGGTTCGAATCTCAGATGGTGGACATGAGTTCCTTCAAGGTTGCAGATACGCCTTGCTGACGGGTGCCAACTAGCACGAAACCTAGGTGGTGTCCAAGGCTTCCTGTGGCCGATTGCCTCCAACCATCTAGTAGAATGTGGTCATTAAACTAAGTGAAACATTACTGCAACGCATTGTAATTCTATATGCAATATTCGAAAGGATCAAACAGATCAATAGGGAACTGTGCTTCAAAATAAGCAAGCTTGATGCCTATAAGAATGATCTTCCGGATCGCAGTAAACTGGATAATGCGATAGACAACGGCTAATCAGGAAACAGGCATAAAATGGACTCACACAAAAGATAACTTGGAGGATGTGAACTTCGCCGATGATGATATATGTCTGATTTCCCACAAACTGGAAGATATGCAAGTAGTGAAAAGCAACAAGCTGGCAGAAGAAGCATCCAGAGAAGATAGGACTTCCTTCAGGTGAACATAGATAAAACAGAGGTGATGAAGATTCCTGGCCAACACCAACAGCAACAACAACAACAGACAACAATCAGCCAGCATAAATGGGAGGAACCTTCTTTACCTACCTGAGAAGCATCGTTTCAATTACAGGCGAATGGAACTGACGAGGATATCCAAGCAGCGAGGATCGAAAAAGCAAGACAAGCTTTCATGACTCACGTCAAGTCTGTGTGGAGGTCAACACTCAGCACTCACCATCAAAAATAACATCCGGATTTTCAACTCCAATGGGAAGTCAGTCAGTTCTACTGTACGGATGGATCAGAGACTTGGCCAGCGCGTCATAAAGAGCCTCTCAAACAAACTTCAGACCTTCATTAACAGTTAGCTGTCTTCGCTCAATACCACTCAAGATCAGATGGCGGACGAGGAAAGATCAGCAACAGAGATCGCTGGCAATGAGCGAACCAACTCAGCAGGAACCGATTGTGAAACAAATAGGCAGAAAGAAATGGAGATGGATTGGCCATACGCTGAGACAACAAACCATAAAGTGTTATCTCTAGACAGGCCGTCGAGTGGAACCCGAAAGGGAAGCGGCGAGTTGGTCGTCAGTGCGAGGGTGGGGCGACTTGGAGGATGAGGTCAAGTGAAGAGGAGATGAAAGCATGTGGGGGCAGACTTGGAGTGGGGTGAAAAAGTTGGCAGAAAACCCAAGGCTATGGAGACGCGCGGCTGAAGCCGCCCTATGTTACTCTAGGAACTAAAGGATATTATGATAATAATAATAATGATAATAATTTCAACACAATAAGACTTATGAAATAGGAAAGATAATCTGAATGGGATACCATCTCAAAGTTTTAACGTATGTTAGCCTAACTGTGAAAACAACTAATTACCTCCAATAACACTTTGGATAACACCGCTGTGCCACAAATTGTGAATTTAGCGAAAGTCGAAAGGAACACAGGAAGAAGATGAAAGTGTAGGTGGTGGTGGTAGGTAATAAATCAGCCAACACACACAACACAACACATATCTGATTAAAAAGGATTAAAAATGAATAAAACTACAATAGTAAATGTGTTACTACTGACTTTCGTCTCCCTCTTCGAAACTCGAACACCACGATCATTTCTCAATTCATAGAAAAAGTCCTCTTTATCAACTTTATTCAATTCAGCCATTACATCGAATTCTGGATCATCTGGATCCTCGTCCTCATCTACCACATTTATATTCCATCGCATAATAGGCGATTGTGAAGAAAGTGACAGTTCTATTGTCTTAGAATTCTGAACATCAGAATGACATTTATCTGATGAAAGAGGTTGAACGCTATTTGAGTCATCTCTTAAACGATTTTCACAGATTGCAGATGACTTTATTGGAGTAGTTATTCGTGAGTTGGACTATGAATAAATAAATAAAAAAAATGACAATAGGAAGGAATGATAATAGAATTTATTGGCAGTAGGCAGTCATTAAACAATAATATAATCCATTTAGATCAACAATCTATAGACAAAAATTTAAAGCAATTAGTTCCTTGTATGAATTTCGACAACACAATAAGATGTAGTTTATCTTTGAAACGTGTAATGTATTGGCGCAACACATTTCGGACATTCTGATCACACACCCGGGTACTTGTCATACACAGTTTTTTTACAGAAGGCAAGAAGGCATACATGTAAACTGATAAACAAAGACTTAAGACCGCAATTAATAGAACCTATTATGCAGCTAAACTTATCTTCATAGAGAAAACGAGAACTTTGCTGTCCTGTAAACCCTCACATTATCCGAACGATGGTGTCACATCCCACTGTGTTTATCAATTTACATGTATGTGTGGAGACACGTACATAGAGAGGACCCATCGGTCTCTGTATGTTAGGGCTACAGAACACATTCCAAAGTGGCTACAAAAACAAATGAAATCGCCAGATACAATTGACCCCGGAAATAGATGTCCAACATCATCTATAGCGAAGCATATTATAGAGACGGGTCATAAGGTTGGTTTTAACAATACCTTTAAGCCGATATAGATAACAAGCTTGGGTCACATACTTAAATTCGTTGAAGCCTTATCCATAAAAAGACTTAAACGTGTCTTATGCGTCCAAAAGTTATTTGTTATCACCTTAAACCTGCCTTGGTAATCCAATTTAGAACCAAGGACCAATCCTACTTAGTAATATTTTCAAACCCCTTCTTTCCTTTGTTTCTCCTCTCTTTATCTTTCCTACCCACACCATTTGCGTCTCCCTACCCATTATTATTTGTGATCTTGACCTGTACACAATCTGACCTGTATTGTAATTAATTATTCATGCCTTCTTGCCTTCTATAAAAACTGTATATGACAAGTACCCGGGTGTGTGATCAGAATGTCCGAAATGTGTTGCGCCAATACATTACACGTTTCAAAGATAAACTACGTCTTCTTATTGTGTTGTCGAAATTCATAAAAGGAACTAATTGCTTTAAAATTTTTGTCTATAGATTGTTGATCTAACTTATTTTGAGGAGAGATTGTCTACCTTGACCAGACCGACACCTACCTGTACACGTGTTTTTCGACAGATTAACATTTCAAAGGATTGGATTGCACTTTAACAGTGATAACCGCCACTATTTAGTTGATTATAATAAGGTTAGCAATATTGAGGTTAAGCGTCGAGTTCTAGGTAAGCAGCAAAGGAAATCAATCGACAAAGTTGTGAAATTACATCGACTGAGATGGTTAGGACATGTGTTACGCATGACTGCCTAGTCACCGCCTTCCTAGACGAGCAATCTTAACTGATATAGAGTCAGGCTGGAAAAGAGCTACTGGCGGACAAACCAAAACATGGCTTCATCAGTCAATGAAATCTATAACAGCTAGTCTAAGCCACGTAGGAAGGTGTAGACTTCCTGGTTGGGGTCCTCGGGACGGTAAAAACCAATGGTTCGAAACAGTTTGTGATATGGCTCAAAATCGTAGTTCTCAATGGCTAGCATAAATGCATCCACTCCTTGTGACTTATGATTTCCATAGGTGACATGGCTCAAAATCGTTGTCAATGGCTAGCGCAGATATAGTATTCAGTCTCTGTAATCTTTCATATTCCTTTCTACCATTACCCATTCTGTTTCACTCTTATACTTGTCAAACTCTATTGATTCTCTTCACTCATCTTCTTGTCTACCTCTGTGTGCTATTTGGAAGGTGGCAACTCGAACTGGTGCACTTCGGTGGCAAGTTCTATATTGAATCCAGACAGACAGACAGACACAAAACAACGCAACTTCTGAAACCATCAATAGTCTAGTGTGTATTATCTCCCTCGAAAGTGATGGTTGGAAAAATAAACGGAATAGTAGTAGAATCTTTACTGGCTTTGGAATGTAACAATCAAGTTTGAAAAAACATTTATCAACCAACAACTGAGATCCCACAACTGTTCAGTATACATTTGATTAAATATGATAGGGAAGACTTTAGCTCAGGTGGATGATTTCGATGTGGTTGTATTCTCTGAGCTGGCTGGATAGTTAATTTGAGAAGCTTTCATCACCCTACTACTAGGTGACATCTTCCTTCAGCGCACACTTCAATTTGAAATGAAGTCAGCTTTTAGATTTCTCCACGAGTTTATTGATCATCTCTCCTGGTCGGTGATCATGGACGTGACTCTTTGGTTGTTTTTGTATGTTTTCACACCTTCTAGGTTACTTGCATTGGAACTGATTGTTTCTTTGACTTGAACTTTGACCCTTTGTGTGTGAAGTTTCTTTCTTATTGATTGATAAATTTTGTCTATGTCGATGTGTCTATTGATTGATGATTCACTGGAATACTAGTCAAGCTTCTAAAAATTCTCTAGCATTCTTGTTGTTTCCTCTGTCTAATATCTGAACGCTGGCTCTCCCAGTCGAATTGACGTCCGTGGTTGTCTGTGTATAGTGATATGAGGGAGTGGATATCATGTCTTTTGATAGCTAGCTTATGTTCGTGGATACGAAGACGAAGGGGACGTCTACTTTGACCAATATAGTGTTTTTCGCAGTTGTTACAATTTATTTTGTAGATGATGTTGGTTTTATCTTCATTCGCTGTTGAGTCTTTTGGTTGACACAGAATTGAGTGAAGTGACTTTGTTGGATTGTGTACGACGTCAATTCCTAAAGGTTTGAAGAGTCTTGTAGTGTGATTTCTGAGACATCCTTTATATACTGTAAGGCGATTTTTTTGTGCTTTCCCAATACAAGTAACCTGGAAGGTGTGAAAACACACAAAAACAACCAATCACGATGTCCAAGGGCACCCATCACATAGCAATAAGCTATCGTTGGCGTGGGTCGGTAGGAGATTGTCGCTCCTTCTGGAACACGTGCGTAGATACCGACCATGCACTGGTCCGCGCTCGGGTGTGCTTACGACTGAACGGACGTAGGAAACAGCTGGCGGTAAAACCATCACGTCCCCAGCTCGATCAGGAAACTAAATCCGTATTTCAGGAAGAACTAGCTAAACACATATCTGTGTTCGACAGCTGTGCTCACCCTGAAGAAGCTTGGAAAAATATCCAGGCAGCCATAGATACAGCTGTAAAAGCTGTGAATAAGGTAAACCCAAAGGTGAGTAAAAACCACTGGATCTCCACCGCCTCATCCGAACTGATAGATGCTAGAAGACTTATTCCGGCGAGCTCCGAATTCAATGAGGAGCGAAAGCTGCACAAGAGGAAACTTACGAAAAGTCTCCGCAAGGACCGTGAACAGTGGTGGGCGACAAAAGCCAAAGAGATGGAGAAAGCTTCGAGGATAGGCAACACCAGGCAACTCTTTAGACTCATCAGGGAAACGGGTGGGAGAAGACAAATCATTAGTGAGACAATCTCGGAAAAAAATGGCACTATAATTAGCTCCCAGGATAGACGACTGGATCGTTGGAAAGAGCATTATGAGGAGCAGTTTAATTGGCCCACAGCCACGCTCAACCTTCCGAGCATCCAACACCTCCCTGAATGGGATATAGACACAGGTCCTCCATCCCTAACTGAGGTTACTAAAGCTGTCACCAATCTGAAACTAGGCAAAGCAGCGGGACCTGATGGAATGACTCCAGAGGTATTTAAGTACGGTGGAGACAGCTTACTGTCTGGATTAACTGAGGTACTAGGCAGCGTCTGGGAATCAGAAGAAGTCCCATCGGGTTGGTGTAAGTCACTGATTATCCCCATATACAAGAAGGGAGACAAGTCTTCCTGTGATAATCACAGAGGGATTAGCTTGACTAATATAGTATCTAAAGTCTTAGGCTCAATAATCATGCGTAGACTAAGTGGTGCTCGGGAAGCACAAACACGAGAGAGCCAGGCAGGCTTTAGACCAGGAAGAGGGTGTATTGATCATATCTTCACCCTCCGACAGATTCTAGAACATAGGCATTCCTACCGGCGTCCAACAGTCATTATATTTCTTGACCTAAAGGCAGCATTCGACTCTGTCGATCGAGAAGTTCTCTGGAGATGCTTGGCTGTAAAGGGAATTCCGAGAAAATATATTGCACTGATTAAGGCACTCTACTCGTACTCATACAGCCAGGTGAGGGCTTACGGCGAGCTGTCATCTGAACTGATGACGACCAGTGGTGTCCGTCAAGGATGCCCATTATCTCCTTTTCTATTCAACTTTATCATAGATGTGTTAATGGACTTAACCCTAGGTGACTTCAGCGACTCAGGGATTGACTTGCTACCGGGGAATAATCTCGTTGACTTGGAATATGCAGACGATATAGTCCTTCTAGGCGAAGACGCTGACAAAATGCAGAGTCTTCTGAACACACTGAGCCGCAATCTACGAATGTTTGGCATGCGATTCGCTCCCGCCAAATGCAAGATGATGTTACAGGACTGGACTACATCGACGCCTAGTTTAAAAATAGGAAGTGAAGTGGTAGAGCACGTTGACCGCTTCACTTATTTGGGAAGTACCATCAGCCAGTGCCAACGGGTTGATCTCTGACGAAATCTCAGCACGAATACAAGGGGCTCGTTCCGCATTTGTTAGTTTACGCCGACTCTGGCGTAGACGAGATGTTCGACTATCGACCAAAGGGCGGGTGTACTGCTCATCAGTCCGCTCCGTCCTCCTTTATGGTTGTGAGACCTGGCCACTGAGAGTGGAAGACATGAAAAGACTAGCTGTCTTTGATCATAGGTGCCTGCGCTCTATTTCCCGTGTAAAGTGGCATAATAAGGTGAGCAACATTGAGGTTAGGCGTAGAGTTCTAGGTAAACAGGGGAAATCAATCGACGAAGTCGTGAAGCTACAAAGACTGAGATGGTTAGGACATGTGTTACGTATGCCAAGCCATCGCCTCCCTCGACGAGCAATGTTAGCGGATATAGGGTCAGGCTGGAAAAAAGCTAGCGGCGGTCAAACAAAAACTTGGCACCAGTCAATGAAATCCACAACAGTTGGTCTAAGCCACGTAGGAAGGTGTAGACTTCCAGGCTGGGGTCCTCGGGACGGTAAAAATCTATGGTTGGAAACAATTGGTGACATGGCTCAAAATCGTTCTCAGTGGCGCAGATGCATCCACTCCTTGTGACTTATGATCTTCAATGAAACTGTTTTGTATTTCTTTATTACTCCTTTGTCTCACACCTCTGCTCACTGTTTCTATTATGCTTTTCTTGTACTTTCTTCTCTTGCTTCGCGTGCTACACGGAATGTGGCGACTTGAACTTCCGCACATTTGTGCAAAGTTCTATGTCGAAAACAGACAGACAGACAGACAGACCCACCAGGAGAGATGATCAATAAACTCGTGGAGAAATCTAAAAGCTCACTTCATTTCAAATTGAAGTGTGCGCTGAAGGAAGATGTTACCTAGTAGTAGGGTGATGAAAGCTTCGCAAATCAACCATCCAGCCAGCTCAGAGAACACAACCACATCAAAAACATTTTGTTAAATTTAGATTGATTTGTATTTCAAGATACCTACTGTAGTGAAAATATCACTTTATCAGGTGATTTAATTGTTTCACACAACTGCCTTTTATTCAGTTCTCCGCCACCGTCACTTCTTCTTCTTCTTCTTCTTCGAAATGTCCATTATACTTTAAAAATCACACTACCAATCAATATACAACTGCAAAACATTCAAAGATTTTCAAGTGTTGCTGCTTTGCAGGGGGATTTAGTTAATTTTAAGTCCGACCACGAAATGATATCAACAAGACAAACACTGGAAAAGAACACTGGGAATTCAGCGGCTATTTCGTCTTGGTATGGGACTCTTCAGAGACACACACACGCACAATACCGAACCTATGTCCTTTCCTTATCTAATTTGAGATCATAGAAGTCTCTAACGACACTTATCTCAAATAATGATATGTAAAGGGTGGAGACACTAAATGGTTGATGATCAGGGACAGACTGGTTATCCACCGCCAATGATGACTTAGGTGCCTCTCATTAAAACCACTTTCAAATACGAAAGCTACCGGTCGAAATTTTATGAAGGAAAAGCGAATACTTAACCAACAGTTGTGAAGAGAAGAGACGAAAAATAAAGATATGTACATGGATAAAGCTTTCCATGCTATTAACTCAAGAACATCCTATAACGTAGGTTAATAAATAACATATGACAGTGAATGAAATTAATTTTAATTTTTGATTACAGCTTGATTCCACACTGTATTTTTGGTACAAGTATAGAATTTTTAGCATGGATGTCGGTAGCCCAAATTTTGCAGGCCAACCATAGATATCAGGTGTGCGTCGGCAGGGGATCGAACCTTAGACCATGTGCATGGTTGGTAAGAGTCCTAACCACTGTGCCACCGACGGACACACAACTCCAGATCCACTTCAAACAAGTTGTGTGTAACCAGTTTGAAGCAGTTATCTCCTGGGCTCTACGATCACGCAACGTTAATGGTCCTTGTGTTTCAGGTAACACACAAGAAGAAATCTACTTCCACGTTATAGAAAGGAAATACTCACCACCCACACTTCCAGAAGCACACTAAGCTCTCCTGATCATCAACCACTTTTGTCTCTATCGCCCCTCACTGTCAACTCAACTCTGAGACCGTAAGTGGACAATGAGAACCAGAAAAACACTAAATGTCTCAAAAAACCATGCTATCAACTTTATAGTGGAGCATCAAGACCCTTTACTATGTTGGACAACAGGAATCACCAGCCAGAACTCTGGCATCTCGAGGCATAGTCCTTCTAGGCGAAGACGCTGACAAAATGCAGAGTCTTCTAAACACCTTGAGCCGCAATCTACGAATGTTGGCATGCCAATCGCTCCCACCAAATGCAAGATGATGTTACAGGACTGGACTACAGCGACGCCTGGTTTAAAAATACGAAGTGAAGTGGTAGAGCACGTTGACCGCTTCACTTATTTGGGAAGTACCATCAGCCAGTGCCAACGGGTTGATCTCTGACGAAATCTCAGCACGAATACAGGGGGCTCGTTTCGCATTTGCCAGTTTACGCCGACTCTGGCGTAGACGAGATGTTCGACTATCGACCAAAGGGCGGGTGTACTGCTCATCAGTCCGCTCCGTCCTCCTTTATGGCTGTGAGACCTGGCCACTGAGAGTGGAAGACATGAAAAGACTAGCTGTCTTTGATCATAGGTGCCTGCGTTCTATTTCCCGTGTAAAGTGGCATAATAAGGTGAGCAACATTGAGGTTAGGCGTAGAGTTCTAGGTAAACAGGGGAAATCTATCGACGAAGTCGTGAAGCTACAAAGACTGAGATGGTTAGGACATGTGTTACGTATGCCAAGCCATCGCCTCCCTCGACGAGCAATGTTAGCGGATATAGGGTCAGGCTGGAAAAAAGCTAGCGGCGGTCAAACAAAAACTTGGCATCAGTCAATGAAATCCACAAAAGTTGATCTAAGCCACGTAGGAAGGTGTAGACTTCCAGGCTTGGGTCCTCGGGACGGTAAAAATCTATGGTTGGAAACAATTGGTGACTTGGCTCAAAATCGTTCTCAGTGACAGCGCAGATGCATCCACTCCCTGTGACTTATGATCTCCAATGAAACTGTTTTGTATTTCTTTATTACTCCTTTGTCTCACACCTCTGCTCACTGTTTCTATTATGCTTTTCTTGTACTTTCTTCTCTTGCTTCGCGTGCTACACGGAATGTGGCGACTTGAACTTCCGCACATTTGTGCAAAGTTCTATTTCGAAAACAGACAGACATCTCGAGGCATCGTTGAATGTTGTGTTTCAGAGACAATTTTTATTCCTTTACGTTCCCAGTGGAACACGGAGCTTCAAGCAAAAGGCTTATTGTCTATCTGTCTGACAGACAGAAGCTTATTACTGGCTTACCGAGGTAAAGGAGTGCTTTGGTCGGGGATCGAACCCCGGACCACCCGAAGGGGGGAGGCGAGCACTCTACCAATGTGCCACCGACACACTCAATAAATATAACAAAGTGATGGAAAGTGCAACAAGTGAATACATTTGATGTCATTTATGCATATTTTATAACATACCTTATTAGGTGTACAATTTGATGAATTACAAGGAGAGGCAAATAATGATCGAAGAAACTGAGAGTAAACAACATCATTGTCTGGATCTTCAGCATCTACACTTTTGTTTGTCACGTTGTTATCAGTACTTCCTTCCTCTACAGTATCTGCTACTACTCCTTCTTCTCCGTCTTCGTCGTCCTTATCAAGAAAGCTTAGAGAATGATTAGGTGGTGGTGGTGACTGTTCAACAGTCGTTTCTAGTTGAAATGATCCAGTAGGATCATGATTTCCAGTTTCCTCAGAACATACATTTGTAGCAAGAGAATGTGATGATAAGTCGTCTGGTAATGACTCTTCAACTCGACGAGTAAGTGATCTGAAAAAGTTCAACACAAACAAAAATAAGTGGAGTTCAATTCTCTGGCATAAATTCAAAGCAGGAGATTAAGTAATGTGAATACTGATGAAAATGCTTGCAATAGAGATACACAGATGATAGCATCTGTTTTACTTCTACTACAAAAAACTGGTGTTATTACCGGCCGGACAATTCATATAGGATTGGGTCATGCTGAACAAGAACAACAAATGTAGCAGGCATATGCATAAATAAGTCCCGAGCTATTTCAAGGAACGTTTTTACACTTTTGATTAAAAGTCCAAGAAATTCAAAACATGGAGGGTTTCATCATGAGCTGACATCAGTTAGAGAACCAATGGAAAACCGGCTGGGAGTACTCGACAGCTGTTTCGTCAGTCTAGTTTGGGACTCGTCGGCAGTACGCACCCACCCACCGGGGTTCGAATCCAGGACCTTCTGGTTACAAGGCGAGCTCGTAGACCATTGAGCCACTGGGACCCGATCCAATGGCCAGCTCATGGATTCTAACTTCTGCTAATTCACGACATAGCGCGACCACTTCACAATGTCTTCTTCGATGAGTTACTGCCTCATCTTCAACCTGCTCTACCCTACTGGTCACGGCTTCCCACTATAACCCCAGGTTAACTGCCTGAATAGGGCCAGTCACTAGTGAGCATCAGATTAATTTTCAAGTATTGGTTTTGTAGGGGTTTTGTTTGATTGCATGGAGGATTTCACCAAGACCTGACATCAGTTAGAGAACCACTGGAAAACCTGGGAGTACTGGACAGCTGTTTCGTCAGCCTACTTCGGGACTCTTCAGCAGTACGCACCCTTCGCCAGGGTTAGAACCCAGCACCTTGTGGTTACAAGACGAGCTCATAGACCACTGAGCCACTGGGACCCGGTGGGTGGGTGCGTACTACTGAAGAGTCCCGAACTAGGACAAAGTAGCTGTCCAGTACTCCCAGGTTTTCCAGTGGTTCTCTAACTGATGTCAGCTCATGGTGAAATCCTCCATGCAATCACACAAAATCCCTACAAAACCAATACTTGAAAATTCAAAAGAAATTGCTCACCACAAAAATAGCGGTAGAACCAAAACAGTCCGACCAAATCTTACACATCACTTCAGCAATGACATTCATGACATTATATCATACATATTCGTGATGCTTTTGAACAAATCACATCTAGTAGACACTGTATTCGATCTTAAACAGGATCATTCTTGAGCTCCTTTAAAATAAGTGTATGAGAGAAGAGAGTCAGCCAGGTAACTAAGGCCATTTACAGTATTGCCACATAAATGACTTTCATTAAATACAGAATAAGAAATGGCCAGTGTTACAATATTAATGTCAGTAAAAAGTTTGAGAAGTTTGTGAAATAGTTCAAATAAAGTATAACTATATATTTCAATGACTTACACACAATGATAAGTTTTGTTATTGGTAATTTTGCTCGAAAAACTTCAGCACGATGTCGAATCTCTTTGCGCCAAAAGAAAAAGTCTGTGTGGGGACATGGAACGTCTGCACCATGTACAAGATTGCCAAAGCTGCCCGGATTGCAAGCGAGATGAAAAGATATGGAATCCAAGTACTAGGAATATGTGAAAGCAGATGGAATGGGAATGGACTCACCAAATTGTCAACGGGTGATTGAGTCAGTGATCTACTCCGGTCACCCAGAAGATAACCACACGCACACCGAAAGCGTGCCTATCATGATGTCACCAACGGAAACAAAGGCCCTGATGCAATGGCGACCTCGTCCAGGATAATGACCGCCAGATTCAACTCCAAAGGAAGGAAAGTATCAATTATACAATGTTATGCACCCACAAACAACGCAGACCTCGAAAAGAAAGAAGAATTCTACAGACAACTACAGGCAACAATGGACAATACTCCAGCTGGTGACATTAAAATACTCAATGGGAGACATGAACGCCAAATTGGGACCAGACAACACAGGAAGGGAACTCATCATGGGTAGAGAAGCTCTCGGAGGAATGAATGAAAATGGAGAACTCTTCGCCGACTTCGGCGCCTTCAACGAACTAGTGATTGGTGCCAGCGTATACAAACACAAAGATATCCCCACAAGGCTACATGGGTGTCACCAGACTGGCAAACCAAAAACCAAATTGACTTCATCTCAATGCCGCTCAAGGAAGTGGAGGCGCAGCCTACTAGACACAAAAGTAAGAAGAGGAGCAGACGTTGGTTCAGACCACTATCTCGTACAACGGATAATCCAAGGGTGACTTGGAGGAGGTCATGTGAAGAGGAGATCAAAGCATGTGGGCAGACTCGGAGCGGGGTGAAAAAGTTGGCAGAAAACCGAAGGCAACGGAGATGCGCAGCTTAACCCCTTTGTTCCTCTAGGAATTAAAGGATATAATAATAATAATAATAATAACAGACCATCTTATTTTTTAACTAACAAAAGCTGTAAAATTACAAATTACCGAGTAACAGCTCTGGATTGCACATTATGATTTGACATTACTCCAAGTTCACTAAGGATGGAAAACAATCCCAACGATTTGGCTCGTCTCCGTGTCGCGGCTGAAATTTCACCAGTTTCAGGCTCTTTAAATTCTCCAACAATATATCTGTGTAAAGCACTCACAATATATTCGTTAGTTAGAACATCCTTCAGCAATCGTTTAAGCTGACGAGTTGTTAAATTTTTCATGGTACTGATTTTCTCAAGTCTTTCAGCTAACGAACAACCCAGTGCCGCCTTTATTATAAAAAAGAATTTTTTACAAAAGATTAGGTAGGGGTCAAAAGAAATTTAAATTTCAAGATAGTACCAGAAACTAGATGATGGCGAAATTAGGTAGTTCATCTACCTTCCTTCCTTCCTTCTTGCCTCCATTATGTATAACTACCAGACCAGTTTAACTGCTCTTGTGGAGGTAGTTACACATTCGGCGAACACAACTAGGGTATGTTCATTGCAGCGTTTTTGATCATTCTGAATAGTTAGACCAGATAACAATCAACACATCTGTTCGTAGCTTTGTTTTAGCGCATCTTGTGAATATTGTGTTGATATAAATTATTAAGCATAATATAAAGTTATTTATCGTATTTCGACTACTATTAATTTCAAAGTAATTAGTTCTATTTATGCAAGATGATGTTACAGGACTGAACTACACCGACTCCTAGATTAGAAATAGGAAGTGAAGTGGTAGAACACGTTGTCCGCTTCACTTATTTGGGAAGTACCATCAGCCAGCGCCAACGTGTTGATCTCTGACGAAATCTCAGCTGAGTACTTTATTTTTTTAATTTTTATTTTTTGGTAACAGCTTGATTCCACACTGTATTTTTGGTACAAGTATGGAATTTTCAGCGTGGATATCGGTAGCCCAAATTTCGCAGGTCGACCATAGATATCTGGTGTGCGCCGGATACGGATACAGAGGGCTGGTTTCGCATTTACCAGTTTACGCTGTCTCTGGCGTAGACGTGATATCCGGCTAACTGTCGACCAAAGGGTGAGTGTACGGCTCATCAGTTCGCTCCGTCCTCCTTTATGGCCAGCTGTGAGACGTGGTCATTGAGAGTGGAAGACATGGAAAGATTAGCTGTCTTTGATCATAGGTGCCTGCGTTCTATCTCCCGTGTGTGTGGTAAGTGGTATAATAAGGTGAGCAATATTGAGGTTAGGCATCGGTTGAGTGCTAGGTAAGGAGGGGAAATCAATCAACGAGGTTGTGAAGTTACATCGACTGAGATGGTTAGGACACGTGTTACGTATTCCTAGTCATCACCTTCCTCCACTGACGGGAAATGTTAGCTGACACAGGATCAGGCTGGATAAAAGCTAGCGGCAGTCAAACAGAAACTTGGCACCAGTCAATGAAATCTACAACAGTTAGTCTAAGCCACGTAGGAAGGTGTAGACTTCCTGACTGGCTAGTTGGGGTCCTCGGAACGGTAAAAACCTATGGTTGGGAACAATTGGTGACATGGCTCAAAATCGTTCTCAATGGCTGGCACAGATGCATCCACTCCTTGTGACTTATGGTTTCCAGTGAAACTGTTTTGTTCTTCATTATTACTATTCCTTTGTCTCACATCTCCTTCGCTTTTGTCGCCCACCACTGTTTACGGTCGTGGCGAAGGCTTCTTGTTAGTTTTCGTTTGAGTAGCTTTCGTTCCTCATCATAATCGGAGCTTGCTGGAATCAGTCTTCTTGAGTCAATCAGTTCGGCTGAGGCGGTAGAGATCCAATGGCTTTTACTAACTTTTGGTTTTAGCTTATTAACAGCTTTTACAGCTGTGTCTACAGCTAACTGTATGTTGTGCCATTTTACCTCAGGGGAAGCCCTGCTGTCGACCTCAGACACTCGTTTCTCTATTTCTTCCTTAAATAGGGACTCAGTGTCTCGATCTAGTTGATGACGCAACTGTTCCGCTACCGTCAATTTCTTATGTCCATTTAGTCGTAAGCATAAAGGTGTGCGAACCAGAGCGTGATCAGAGTCTACGCACGTGTTCCAGAAGAAGTGACAGTCTCCTATTGACCCTCACCAACGATACCCTATGGCTATGTGGTCTATCTGAGTCCAGCGTTGATTTGGTGATGGAGGTCACCAGGTTACACAATGTCTCTCTTTGTGTCTAAAGTTAGTGCTGACTAGGAACAGATGATTGTCTGAGCAAAACTGTAGAAGACGATCACCGTTATCCGTTCGTCGGCAGGGAACTCCGTACGTACCACCTACATACTTATCAATCTGGAACAACTTCCCTACTTCGGCATTGAAGTCGCCTGCTTAAACAACTATATCTAAGCGTTTTGCTTTTTGCAGGAAACTAGACAGTTTCAGGTAGAAGTCATCCTTTAGTTCACCCAAACTGAAGTCTGTTGGGGCGTAAGCGGAGACCATGAAAAGACAACGACGAGTGGCGCTGTCCTTCTTTCTTCTGACGGACCGATTCACATGAACTGTACGCAAATAACTTTCTACTGGGAGCCAGTCAAGTAGCGATTTTTCCGCCCTAACACTCAGTGTTATGCCTACACCTGCGAGTCCTCGCAAGGTAGTTGAGGAGTCTCCTGACACCCTTAAAGTGAAATTTGCAGATTCACCTTGTTGACCGGGTGAGGTTAAGTGAATGACCACACTCGGGTCTTGTATGCATGTTTCCGAAACACATACTTCCATGGCTCGAGATGCCGGAGTTCTTGCTAGTGATGCCTGTTATCCGATTTGGCAGAGGGTCCTGACGTTAAATGCTCCTATACGAATTTGGCGACGTGGCTTTAAAAGACTACCTGGGGTGTTTCTATGGCTCTCACCGTTGTTTATGGTCACAGATTGAAGTCAAAATGAGCCTTCTGTATCCGTGCTGAAATTTTCGTCAGCGATCAACCCGTTGGAACTGACTGATGCGACTTCCCGAATAAGTGAAGTGGTCAGCGTGCTCTACCAATTCACCCCTTATTTCGAAGCTAGGAGTCAATGTAGTCCAGTCCTGTAGCATCATGACTACAAGGCATCTACAGTTATACCACATAAAGTGGGGACATCTGAGAAGCTAAGTAGGATTCTCAATAGAGCAAGAATTAGAGTGGCATTAAAACCTACAAACTCACTCAGAGACGAGCTCTGTGGAACAAAAGACCAGGTGAAGCCAATTAAACAAAATAATACAATTTACAAAATGCCTTGCAATGACTGTCAGTTAGGTCAACTCCATAGGTCAAACTAGTAGGTCGGGGTTAGTCTGATTGTCGGAACATAAGAATTTAGCCAACGTAAGAATGGTCGACCCCACCCGGGAAGATAAGTAATTTAGAAAAAAGCTCAGCGATTGCACTGTATGCATTAACACACAACCACACAAAAGGGTGGTGAGAGAGGGTTAAAATTCTAAGAAGTAATATAGGTAGGTGGAGAGAGAGAGAGAGAGAGATTACTCAATACTGGTTCATCAAGCGGTCTACACCCAACACATGTAACAGAAATGACTCAATGCAAATACCGGAGATATGGAAACGTCATCAGTTAATATTACTTACTGTATAACCCTGCATGATTTATCAAAAATAAAATCTTATCTATAATGGAGTTATACTCTATCACAGTGCCCAAGTTTTATACTTATATCAGTTATTATTTATATTATGGTCGTCTTAATTGACGTTTGGATTAAATTTGAGGATGGTTAGGAGACTCAGTTCTAGTCATTTCATTCACCTGAAAAAATGCGACATGGAATGGTAATTAAACCTCTACCTCAACTTTATAGACTTTGAGAAGGCCTTCGACAGACAGCATTGACCGTGAAGTCATTTGGAAACTACTCGAGTACTACTACGGCGTATCCCAAATATTCATCAACCTTGTTCAACAGCTGTACGACAACGGCACATGTCAAGTGATCCACACGGGGGGAAACTCAGCGAGGCGTTTGGAGTAAACACAGGAGTCAGACAAGGGTACTTATTATCACCAATGAATGATATTCCTAATTGTGGTGGACTGACGGGATTATGCGTCAGACAGTGGGGAACGAGAAGACAGGAATATCCTGGACCGACGTGAGGAACCTAGAAGACCTGGATTTCGCGGACGATTTATGTTTGATGTCACACAAAATCGAAGACTTACAAGCGAAAGCCAACAAACTGGTCGAAGAAGCAGCCGGAGAAGACAAGACTCCAGGTGAACATAGACAAGACGGAGGTGATGAAAATAACCAACCGACAATAACAGGGCAACATCCAGCGTCAATCACCATCAACGGGAGGGATTTGAAAGACGTTACTTCATTCACTCACTGATCTCGGGGCATTGCCTCAACTACAGGAAGTCGGAACGGACGAGGATGTCAAATCGAGCGAAAATCGGGAAGGCAGGCGAGAAACACATTCGTCAACCTGAAATCAATCTGAAAATCTTCGTCACTCAGCCACCATCAACAACAAAATTCAGTCGGATTCAATTCAATACAAACAACGTCAAGTCAGTCAGTTCTTCTATACGGATCAGAAACTTGGCGGGCGGGTCACAAACAATATTTCCACCAACAGCTTGTTGCAGACCTTTATCAACAACAACTGTCTTCACTCTATACTGAAGATCAGATAGCCGGGCTGGAAAGAATCGTCAACAAGAAACTATGGGAAAAAACAAAACAAAACAAGAACAAATCGCCCCACAAATATGCAGGAGAAAGTGGAGATGGATTGGACACTCGTTGAGGAGTCCGGTTGGTGACATTGCGCGTCAGGCCATTGCTCGAGTGGAACCCGAAAGAAAAGAGGTGAGTGGGACGTCCAAAGGCGACATGGAGATCATGTGAAGAGGAGTTGAAACAGTATGAACTAACTAACATGGATGCAGGTGAAAAGTACAGCAGAAGGAAGACAGAAGGGGCAAATGGAGACGTGAAGTTGAAGCCCTATGTTCCACTAAGAACCAAAGGGAATAATAATAATAATAATAATATTCAACCAATCAAATGATCACCGTACTTTAAATATGTTAGATCCCAGTCTGCGGAAAACAGAATGGGTAGCAAAAGTGTGGCCAAATGTGGGGTTAAATGAAAAAAAGAAAAACACTTGCTTTTTAAGAATAAATGTTACCAGAGTCATGATCTTAATCGATGTAATAACAAAACTAATAACATTTAAGCAACGCTTGTTAAATGTGGCTACGAGTTGAACAATAGATAGCAACATACTTGCCAACTAACGATTTCACCTTCAGCAGCAAACAGGGCATCGTTCATTTTAGAGATTTTGGGTAGAGGCTCCGTATCATTTGACTTTCCAGCTCTCTTCATGATGACTTAAGCAGTAATGAAAAAGAGGAATTCGTTTGGACAAGGTTGAGGACACCTGTAAAGATGAAGAGATGAAGATGAAAAGCTATTATCATTGGACATTGGTACGCTGTCGCACACCAAGCACTAACCAATTAGCTCATTAGCATTTTACATTTCTTAACAAAGCAACTCTATAATCCTTCAAAATATTTTATGGTACAACAGAGTTTACAACAACAACAATTCCTGAAAAACTTAGTTGCCTTCAGTGACAAGAAATAGTTTGGTAGGAGATATAGTGCAATGTAAGATTTTGTGACAGTCACTGGTGAGTGTGTCCAGTGTGCATCAGGGATTTCTCTATGTTTCAACACAAATCTCTATATTAATTTACCGACCGAAAGCGGCTACCTTGACGTGGTGGTGGTGGTAGTGCTTTTACATATTGGGATGACTCAACAAGCTACACTAGCAGGAACTAATGTGTCTGCCAGGTCCTATCACCCCAGAAACGTGTTTAGGCTTGAAGCAGTCGTCAACATAGTGTAGGTCGTTAAACTATGTTCGGGAACGATGAGCGAAGGCGTTGTAGTGCACATCCCAGCGTTCAAGACTCTCTTTTAGTTTGTACATACACGAACTGGTGTCAATGCCACTTTTTGCGCTTTCCCGTTGTGCTGTCTATACGCCGATTCATTGAGTTTGTAAGTAAAGCCATATCCGTTAAATAAGTTCTAGACCTTTATCCTTCGGTAATCGTTACTTTTTATCTCACTCAAATATACCCCGCACTTGAACACATTTTCCCTAATATCCAAGTCTTTTTTAATTTGCGTTTTGTCGTCAGTACTTACAGGTTAGGTACTGTATAATTGGGTAAATAGGTAAATAGCATCAAGTAGAGATCGGCAGTGTAGGTAATTGACAGCACTACCAGTACATTGCAGCGTACTGTTGGTGAACAGGGATGTAACAACAGTAAAGGACTCTCCTCAGACGTCCACGAAAACTGTGTATTCCAATTTACCTTGCGGTGGTTCGTAGTTGGTAGTATGATCTTTTTTTATTACAGCTTGATTCCACACTGTATTTTTGGTACAAGTATAGAATTTTTAGCATGGATGTCGGTAGCCCAAATTTTGCAGGCCGACCATAGATATCAGGTGTGTGTTGGCAGAGGATCGAACCTCGGACCATGTGCATGGTTGGTGTTGGCAAGAGTCCTAACCACTGTGCCACCGACGGACACACAACTCCAGATCCACTTCAAACAAGTTGTGTGTAACCAGTTTGAAGCAGTTATCTCCTGGGCTCTGCGATCACGCAACATTGATGGTCCTTGTGTTTCAGGTAACACACAAGAAGAAATCTACTTCCACGTTATAGAAAGGAAATACCACCCACACTTCCAGAAGCACACTAAGCTCTCCTGATCATCAACCACTTTTGTCTCCATTGCCCCTCACTGTCAACTCAACTCTGAGACCGTAAGTGGACAATGAGAACCAGAAAAACACTAAATGTCTCAAGAAACCATGCTATCAACTTTATAGTGGAGCATCAAGACTCTTTACTATGTCGGACAACAGGAATCACCAGCCGGAACTCTGGCATCTCGAGACATCGTTGAATGTTGTGTTTCAGAGACACCTTTTATGTCCTTTACGTTCCCGGTGGAACATAGAGCTTCAAGTCAAAGGCTTATTGTCTATCTGTCTGACAGACAGAAGCTTATTACTGGCTTACCGAGGTAAAGGAGTGCTTTGGTCGGGGATTGAACCCCGGACCACCTGAAGGGGGGAGGCGAGCACTCTACCACTGTGCCACTGACACACATAGTAGACCCAAATGTGGTAATCCACATGACCAGCAAGGTGAGTCTGAAAAATTCACCTGATTCGCGTGGACTCGCAGACGTAAGGATAGCATGGAGTGCTAGTGGAGCTGTGATTCAAACTCAGAAACATAATCCTACCGAAGACCAAACCCAAAATTTGGATACTTCACGTGGATGACAAATTCGTGATAAACAGAAGAAACAACTTAGACAAAACTCACAACTTAAACATCTTCGGCGACACATGAGGAGAGAAGTACGAGGACAAAATTTCACTTTTAGACGCTTTACTCAACCGACACTACAGGAAAATTGGAAACTCAAGTACACAGAAAATCAACTCACACAGACCAAATACTCAATCACAACAGCAACAACCCAATGCAACAACAGAAAACAGGTTGTACACAAATACTATTCAAGAGAGTCCGAACACATTGTAGCACTCCCACCTTAACGAAAACTGGAGAAAAATAGCCCATGGACGTCTTCCAAAAAATGGATGTCACGGAAATTCATCAAAATATATATATACCTCCAACCCAACCTACCAAATCAAAGGTCCCCAAGAAAAATAATAATAATAACACAAACAAACCATCCTACGATATATAAAAGACGTCTCAAAAATCACTGCAAGACGTCAAACCTTCAGGAACTGATGCCACCTACAGAATAACAAAATCGCTTCCCTCGGTTTTATGTCAAACAAAGTACTCAATAGAGAAAGAAGATAAAACCAACATCACACCCAAAATTGCAACAATTGTGAAAAACACTACATTAGCCAAAGTGGACGCCCTCTTCGTCTCCGCATACAAGAATATAAATTGACCGTCGAAAGGTATGATATCCACTCGCTCATATTACCACATACAGACAATCACAGACATAAATTTAGTTGGGAAAACGTTCAAATTTAAGATAGAGAAGACACTGAAATCTCCAGAGAATTTGCAGATGTCTGGAATCCAAGTGAATTGGCAAATAATAGACACATTGACACACATTTACTAATCCATGAGAAAGAAACCACATGAAAAAAAGTTAAACTTCAGGTCAAGGTAACATTCAACATCAATACAAATGGCTTAGAGGGTATGGAAACACAAAAACAACCAATCACGTTTGAAGTTACAAGGAGAAGTCTAGCAAACTCGTGGAGAAATTAAAGTATGCACTGAGGATGTCGCGCAGTAAGGCAATAAATGCTACGCAAGTAAACCATCCAGATCAGAGAACGCACACGCCAGGAAGCAGAACTCAGTATTTTGTCCCATCTTTCCTCAAAAAAATAAATGTACCACTACACTTCAAAATCAGCAATACACTAAGCTGATATCGAGTCAGTCAATTGCATTGTGAACCCAACCACCACCAGTCGGATGATGGACAGGTGACAAGTGGGAGAGACGTGGGGCAAACGGGCACAATTCGGATAGGCAGAGAAGCTGGCAAAATGCAAAATAAATTGCCCGGTTTTCCCCACCCTTCACCTTTTTTGCCATGGTCGCTAAAATTTTCGCATGCCACTTTTCTACTCACTTTTATCAGGTCTAATAAGAAAGAATCACTCAATTTTTACCATTTAGCAATTTTCATATCGGAAAGTAGCCCAGTCCAAAACGGAAGTCTGCCCACTCCTTTGCTTACATATGTGATGTCCGAAAAAATTTCTGCAGCTGGGCAGAGATAAATCCATCGCTACGTCTACACATAGGAACAACACTGGCTGTCTTCACTGCAGAAGATGACTCCCCGCCAACCAGTATGCAGATGAATGGGTTTCTATTGAATGAGTTGATCAGGGGGCAATATACTAAATCGACGTTGACTTCGTAGCTAAAACTAAACATGATATCTGCCGACTGATATGTATTCAGGTACATCTGAGATTAAGATAATGTATACTTTTGAACACATGCAAGTGTTTTCGTTTCACGACGTATACACGTTAAAAATTAGGTTAATGCGCTTTTTTCCGGACTTAAAAATGTTTGGTTTCCTCACAACCATAGGTTGTACGCACATTAAAGCAGACATTCTAATTTTGAAACAATGCGAAGGAACTGGATATTTAGATTTTAAAAAATAAAGAATTAAATTGCCTGCAAATCAGAGATACATCCTGATTTTCAATAGCAGTGACGGAAACGACCGACTTGCCTAAAGAGTCAACCAAATTTTTGCCCAGATAACAAGTGTAGCGTTGGAGTGAAAACAGCTGTTAAATGATGAGTATGATTTAATGTCTACCACTTGAGTTTAACTATTCTGACTGGTCATCAAAGTCCATTAAGTGAGTCTTTCGTAACGGCTAACATTAATGAAATTGTCTTAATTGGGGGACGATATAATGTACAATATGGAAACCAATTTGCAAAGCATTTTTGAACTGTCACCTATGTCCTTAGAGACCTCAACACGAAGTAGAAGTGAAAATTTCACTCGAAGAAATTGTCTCAAGCCCGCCCTAACTCAGTCTAAGTAATAGGCAATATTATTAGCTTTTTTCACATGATATGCGATTCCTGGTCTGGTGCATGAAAAGTCTGTTGCGGTGGACTGAGTTTATACATGAGAAACATTGGTGCACGACTATGGATGAACCCCAGCATTTTTCAGCCGTATATTTCCACGGGATGAGATTTGAAATGAGTAGCATATTTCATTTCTTCCTAAAGTCAGCAGGAGAGGAATAAAGTCAAGGAAGAAACCCTAACTCTAATAAACCACAAAAAACCAACTGTAGGAGCTGGACTATCCCTGTTCAGCTGCCATCGGTTTTTGAACTAACGCCTCTGTAAGTGCCGCCATCAACTTTGAGAGAGTCCTTATAACGTTAGCACCTACTAAACTTGCTTTCCTAGGGTAACCCTGATCAGTACTCTACCTAACGTGTAAGTGCAGATAAACGAACTCGAAGTAAAAGGCTTGTGACTAAGTAGTGCACTCAGATGACGAATATATTTTTACCACTGAATAAATGTCAAATTCAATAGATAAGAATACTGTACAACTTATCTCTTGACTGATATAAGCATAAAACTTGGGTACTACAGTGAGAACTCCGAAGGTCACAACAGTAGAATTTGTTTCTAATTGTACACGGAAATTATAGGTATTTCAACAAGAATCGTTTTAAACAAAAATCATGTACAATGTCTCTAATTTCTACAACTAACAAAAAGTGTACAATCATATTGATAGGTACTCCACATGCCTCACACTCAAGGTCGTCTAAGGAGTGAGACACTTGAAGGCCATTTTTGTCTATGTTAGTCGTCCACTTACCAACACATTTACTTATCAAAATTCTAAGGTCGTCAGCTATTTCAGATCTCACATTCAGATTTATTGGTTGAGGATAGAAGGCTTGGAGCCCGTGTTAGTTCCTGTGCGTCGGTAGCCGGTGGTCGGAAGAGATTTAAACTTTCTAGTCTGTCATCGTATGATAAATTAGTCATACCAAGAATCATAAATGTTACCCTTCTTTGAACCCTTTCTAGAATATGTAACTCCCCTTTAAGACAAGGACTAGCTGCCTGAGTGCAATTTTCCAGTCTTGACCTTGCCAGAGATGTATATGAAGAGGTTAATATATCTCTGGTGATTCTAGTAAAGGCTCTGCTAATTGCCCATAGGGATCTGAAACTACCTGCAACCACCGCGAGACAGTGCGCTGTAGTTATTAAATCGTGACTCACTATGACATCTAAATCCAGATGAGTCTGAACTGGTGGGAGTGTTATTCCCTCTAGTTCGTAAGATCTTGTGCTTGCGTGACCGATGCTCATGGCTGCACATTTTCCCAAACTGAATGGGAGCATCCATTCTCCGGACCACTCTGTCAATTTGTTGAGGTCCCATTGCGACGTGAGAGTATCGTTGTCGCCCTTCAGCTCTCTTCAGATTGATAAGCCATCTATGTATAGGGCCTTAGGAGAAATAACTAATTGATATACAAAATAAGTAGGAGAGATCCAAGCACCGTGCCTTGTGGCACTCCGCTACGCATTGCTATCCAATGGGAGAGTTTCGAGTTGGTCCTAACCCTCTGCCTCCTATCTATGAGTAATTCCCTAATCCATTTCAGTAACATGCCTTTGATACCAAGATATTTCACCTCATGTGTAGTCTTTTACGAGGAACTTTATCGAAGGTTTTGCTGAAGTTAATTCTAGAGGTTGACGGTATGGAGGTTCGCGAACAGTACTGAGTATATTAACGCAAGATCATATACTAACAACTTCTATCTTATTTGTTTCGCGTGTACCAAAGGCAACGGAAAAGACCACAATCGATTGCCCAAATTACGAAATATATTTCGGAACCAAATCGTGGATTGAAGCGGAAGCTAAGCTAGCTAGTTATCGTGCACAACAGTGACATGACGGAGTACCAAATGGCGGGATGCTTTACCGGAAGCCCTCAGCTAAACAAGTCGACTTAGACTCTAAGGGTCAACATCCAATGTTCATTGATGATTGTTATGGTCACGATGTAATTCTTCTCTTAGACATAGTCTATTCCTATGGTCAATAATTTTGAGGAATTATTTACCGCTACACCATGAGGATGACGCCTGCGGGTCTTCTGTTGTCCCTTGATCCGACACGGCTTTATTTTGCAGAATGAAGATTTGACAGGAATGAGAGGATACCTCGGAAGCCATCCTGTGTTCTAGATACCACTGCTGTCTTTCAGATATGCAATGATACTTTTTGTGATGATTCTTTCCAGTGTTTTGATTGAAGTGCTGGTGATACTTATATGTCTTTAGTTTGAGGGACTTATACTGATCCTTCTGAGTGAATGGGGAGGAGCCTTTCCAGTCACGCGGTGACACTCCATTTAGGAGACAGCTAAGAGATCGTGGTCACTGGGCCGGTTATGTGAGCTGATAGCTTCTTGAGAAGCCTTGGATGAAGATTATCAGGACCTGTTGATTTCCCTGCCCCAGTCTCATTAGGCACTTAAGCACCATGTCTTGGTTGACGTCAACAAAATGTGTCCCGTGTTCCGCTAATTCAGCCAGAACTGATCCCATGGGGAGTGATGACTCTTGCGTAAAGACATGGGAGAAGTAATCCACCATTGTTACTTTTTTCTCTTCATCCTCGATTGCGTCAATGTCAATAGTCAGGTTTGGGACACGACTGGATGCTTTCAACCTTATCCTTGATTGGCGGGATTTCTGCAATAGCTCTGTTCCTAGCTGCGTTTCATAATTTTCTGATCTCAGGAGTCTCAGCTGTGGCGAGCAGCTTCCAAAACTTACGTTTATGTCTGAGTAACTAACGAAATTCGGTTTATCCAAGAGAACAATGTTTCCCATCCTTAAGGGCAGACCAGTGGATATAAGTTTCAGTCATTTGAGCGTAAAGTTGTTTAAACTGGTTCCATGCGTCTTTTACTTGGGACTCTGGGTTTCTGTACCAGTACACTGAGTTGTCTGCTGAGGCGATCGATTTAAAACAAAACAACCCGCGCGCTTCGTGTAGGACGTTACAATCTCTCCATATAACGTGGAAATATCTTTTCGAATTCTGGAATATCGTGGTCTATATTTGACTACTATATAATTATAGCTGATATTGGTTGCACCTCCGGTAGCTAAATATCCAAATTTATCACCTCCAGAATACTGTTTGGATCCAGTCAGATTCGTGTTAATAAAGAGCAATCTATCACAAAAGAACTATAGAGAAGTCCTTAGTTTTGTTGTTTATAACTGTCAGAGTTAACTCGTTTGATAGTGGTCTATTTTTAGTTCGTACTTCATACATTCATACCTGTTTATTGTTGTTTTTATCTACTTAGATAATATAACAGTATTTCACACACTTTTGTCAATTTTTGAGAAATTTTTATAATCTTTACCTCCATAATGGTCAAAGTTATTAAACGAGTTAGTACTGTTAAGAGACTAGCATCAAATAGTCAGCAGGTCACTAGAAACATTAGTCCTGACGATGAATTTGTACTAAGATCAATTGATACACCGAGAGTTATAGTACCAAACTTAATGGAAGAACTAATCGATAACGTAGCCCGTAACACTAGTGATCTAAAGATCCTTCAGAAATCCATAACAGACCTGCAGGATAAGTTTGAAAGTATCACTCCTTTCCTCCAACTTTGTGATCCATCACAAGAAATTTGCTTAGATTCACTCCTCAAATCTGAGCGCCTGCTAGACTTTTTGACTGCAGAGGCTGTAAAGAGGGTCATGTCCTCATACAATGTTTTAGGATATAATATACCAGACAATGTACCTATTATCAAACTTAAAGCAATCTGTCTACAGGCATGCAACATTTCAGTATCTGACTGCCAGGTTCTGCGTCTTCGTAAGAAATCCGCAAACCACCCATGTCCTGTACTCTTCAAATTTAAGTCTATTGACCTAGCTAAGAAATTTTTGGAGTCTGGCAAAACTCTTGGCTCCTCAACACCCTACACCAATATCAGGATTGTACCTGATTTAACTTCTTGCCAAAGACGTTGCCGCGCAGGTAAACTGAGGGAAGACAACCCCAATAAGACAACCGATGTTAATACTTCCCTCGTTGTATTGCCTGATGACCAAGAGCACCAGATAATATCGCATACACAAACTAACAGTAGTCAAGCAACTGTTGAAGACTTAGCTCGAAATACTGAAATTTCAGACATAGAAATGTCAACAGATCACAGTATTGACGTGCATCCCTTGCACACTGGCACTAATGCCAAACCCTCGAAAAAGTCTAAGCTGAATTCAGTAGTACACTTTGAATCTCTCGGGAAGTCATATACCTCACAACCTCTTAGCCCGGCTACTGTGAAGCAGCAATCACATGTGGCCACCCAGGTAGGCGTAAATACAAGGCGATATGATAAACGTCCTATTTCCGTTAGGAACACCAAAAAACTGTTGAGACTATTCAACAGAAATCCAGTTTATTAGGAAATCCTACTAATCACCAGCAGCCCAAATTATACAGGCCGACTAATACGGATAAAGCTAAACCAAACGTTAGACCCGGAACACTAAAGCCCATAAGTAGGAAAGTTTCAAATGGGTCACTGGCTCATTCTACTGATAGACAATCATCTAAACTTAGTCATGTTCCTGAAGTTAGACGTAATTCACATACCGTAGGAGCTGAATCATTTCCGACTTCCACTACCAGTCCTATGATAAGAAAAAACAATCGTCACATATCTCACCAAACACTTCGAAAACACGAAGTTGCTCAACCCCTCACGAATGCACCCTCAACCATGATGTACAGGAAACATCAGTTTGAGAATACAGACGTTAGTCCAAAAACGCGTATAGTGCCCTGTCATAATTCTCATGCATTCAGTAGGGGTCACATGCCAATTTCAGCACAATGCTCATCATGGCCTAGGAAGTACTCTAATCAGACACAGGGATCTAAGTCATATGCACACAACAACACGCCGATCACACATTTCGGTTATAACTATGCAGATTACACGACACTAGCCAACCCATATGACCAAAATTTTCTCCAGCGACAACTGGCAGAAACGCCTGGGATCATGCACATAGCACGCATGATATCAGACCAATTCCTTGCTGGTATAGCGAACACCTTACAACAGGGAAACTGCTTCTTCCCCGAAAGATAGCAAACATCTTATACACACCTAATACCAATAGTAATACCATAGATTATCATACTAGTATCTCCCATAGCACGCAATATCTAAACGACCAACTACTCACGAGTGACATTTCACAACCCATCCCTAACTATCAAATTAAAGAAACCGTCTCTAGTGATCAAAATGTTGTAATTAATGAATCCAATAACGACTGCACATATTCAGTTGATAACCATAGAGTATTTTATTATGATATTGCCCATACACTAAAACCACTTCGTCAAAGTCTATCCGTCATCCTCATAAATGCTAGATCAGTTCTTAACAAACATTTAGCATTATGTACGTTAGCCTCTATATGCAATCCGTCGCTGATCATGATCACTGAAGCCTGGTGCTCAAGTGACATTGTGGATGGTAGCTTATCAATTGATAAGTACAATCTTTTTCGAGGGGATAGGGAAACAGGTCGTGGGGGTGGAACACTCATATACGTTAAACAACCCATTTGTGCAACGCATTTTAGTCACCCTATTCTGTCACAACTTAATGATTCGGTGTGGGTCGAAATAAAAGTTCTCAGAAGTAAACCTATCCTTATAGG